GCCTTGAGCACTTCTTCGACGAGTGCTGAAAGAAATACTCTTCCACGGTCGCTCAGGATTACACGAGGAGCTCCGTGTCGAAGGATTATTGCTCGAAGGATGAAGTCGGCCACTTCCGAAGCTGATGCAGAAGGCACGGGAGCTGTTTCGGCGTAGCGGGTCAGGTGGTCGACAGCTGTAACTATCCAACGATTGCCCGTGACAGTCATAGGAAGCGGACCATACAGGTCAATGCCAACTACCTCGAATGGTTGCAGGGGACACGGGAGCGGTTGTAATTGTCCACTTCGAGTTGATGTAGGTAGCTTGCGACGCTGACAAAGGGCGCATGAGGCAATGTACTTCGCGACACAGGTGGACAAGCCCGGCCAGTAGTAGTGACATCTTATGCGGTCATACGTTTTCTGGAAGCCCATGTGTCCAGCAGACATGTCGTCGTGACATGTCTTGAGGACTTGAGCCCGAAGAGAGCGAGGTAGAACGGGCACCCAGCGTTGACCATCAGGGTGGTAGATATGACGGTACAGGACGTGGTTGTTGAGCTTGAATTGCGTCAGCTGTCGGCGAAGACGGGCGTTAGGGGGCCGGCAAGTCCCGTCAAGACGGTCCATGATGCGGCGACAGTAAGGGTCAGCACGTTGGTGAGATAAGAACAAACCACACTCGCTTGGAGAAGTTGGGTCCAAAGAAGTTAATGACGAAACATGTAGGGAAGAGACGGCCGAAAGCTTCTCGTGTGCAGCAGTGGCGGGTTTGTTAAGCGGCTCCGAAGAGAGCGGGCAACGCGAAAGGGCGTTGGCGTCTTGATGCTTGTTTCCCGACTTGTATGTGATAGTGAAGTCGTATTCTTGTAAGCGAAGAATCCAGCGACCAAGGCGGCCGGACAAGTTCTTGATTGTCGAGAGCCAGCACAAGGCGTGATAGTCCGTAACCACAGTAAAGTGGCGGCCGTGGAGATAAGGTCGAAACTTTTGTATCGACCATACGACCGCTAGGCACTCCTGTTCGGTGATGGTATAATTCTTTTCAGCAGGGGTCAGTGCACGGCTCGCGTATGCGACGACTTTCTCACGTGAAGATTTGTCTCGCTGTAGAAGAATTCCACCAATGCCTCGACCACTAGCGTCTGTATGCAGGAGCGTAGGCGCGGTTTCGTCGAAATGGCAGAGGACTGGTTTGGATGTGAGTGCACACTTCGGTTGGGCAAACGCCGCTTCACATTCAGGAGACCACACAAAGGCGACGCCTGATCCGAGCAACTTGTGCAATGGTGAAGCTATTGAGGCGAAGTCTCGAATGAATCGGCGAAAATAAGAAGCGAGGCCGAGGAAACTGCGCAAATCTTTGGCTTTTTCAGGACGCGGGAAGTGTTGGACAGCGGAAATCTTGTCAGGATCGGGACGAATACCGTCCTTGCTTACGATGTGGCCTAACACTTTAATCGTCTTGCTCGCAAAACGGCACTTCTTGGTGTTCAGCTGAAGGTTTGCGTTTGCAAGGCACGTAAGAACTTCGTCCGGTCGTTGCAAGTGCTGAGGGAAGGTTGACGAGAAAATAACGATATCGTCTAAATAGCACAAGCAAGTCTTCCACTTCAAGCCTCGTAAAACTGTGTCGATCATCCGCTCGAATGTTGCTGGAGCATTGCAAAGGCCGAATGGCATGACGTTGAATTCATACAGCCCATCTGGTGTTGAAAACGCTGTCTTTTCTTTGTCATCCTCGTGCATGGGTATTTGCCAGTAACCTGAACGCAGGTCTAGGCTTGAAAAGTACTCAGCACCTTGCAGTGAATCCAAAGCATCGTCTATGCGCGGCATGGGGTAAACATCCTTGTGGGTAATCTTATTAAGTGCTCTGTAGTCCACGCAAAACCGCACGGAGCCATCTTTTTTCCTTACTAAAACAACAGGGGATGACCAAGGACTCGCGGAGGGACGTATAATGTTCAGTTGCAGCATATCGGCTACATTTTGTTCAATGATTTCACGCTCGGATGAAGAGACGCGATATGGTCGACGGCGTACGATGGAAGTGCCATCGGTCTGGATACGATGCCTAATAATGGACGTCTGTTCCAGAGATGAGGAATGGGCATCAAACAATCTCCTATGCTTTTGTAGCAAGGCAAGCAACTCATCTGTCTGTGAAGAGGTCAGTTCTGGACTAATAGTCGCAGCAAGAACAGAAACGCTTGATGAACGTCCAATAGAAGGAAGGTCAGAACACGCTGGCATAAGAGAGACAACAGAGACAGGTTGAGATTCAGAAACGCAAGCCATTGTGGTGCCTTTAGGAATGAGAATTTTCTCAGAAGTCTGGTTTGTAGCGTAGAGAAGTCCGGAGCCATTGTGGAATCGCGCTAGACCTGAAGCAAAGGCTATACCTCTTGCGAGACAGCGTGCAGATGGTTGGACAAACACGTCACCAGAGTCGATCACATTAGAAGTGATGGCAACTATCCGCTGATGACCAGGTGGTAGCTCGGTCTTTTCAGCAGCAAGCAAGCGAACGGGCTTGTCATCCGCATACAGGGCATAGTCAGTTTCCATCATATGAACAACATTTTCTTTACAGCAGATGGAAGCGTTCGCCGTAGACAGAAAATCCCAGCCTAATATAATCTGGTGGGCACACGAATTCAGCACAGCAAATTGTACAAAATGAAGAATACCAGCGATGAAAACACGAGCGGTGCACATAGCGGCAGGTCTAATGGCGTCCCCTTGAGCAGCGTGCAGTGTAGGTCCATCATAAGGGGTGGTGACTTTTCGTAGACGTGAGCACAAAGAACGATCAATCACAGACAAAGAGGCACCAGTGTCTATTAAAGCGTCCACGTACACACCTTCTATTAAAACAGCTATCGTATTATATGGACGCACTGGAGGAATTTCTGTCTTTTTGTTCGATGCAGCTTTTCCTCCAAAAGCTGCAGAGGTTAGTTTTCCGGGCGTTGGTTGGTGAATTGCGAGACAGGTCGCAATGGGGACGTGGAACGGCGGAGGGGTGAGGGTGAGCGGCGTCTAGTAGAGCGGTAGGAACTGGTTGGCTCAGATGTCGCAGTTGGAGACGGTGAGCGGCGTAGCGGCGGATCATAAGGACGACGTTGGAAAGCGTACCAGCTTGTCCCATCATTCCGTCCGTAGGTGTCGAGTCCACGACGCTCGTCCTGCTGACGCTTCCGACAGACGCGTGCAATGTGGCCCCGATAGCCGCAGTAATAACAGATCGGACGATGCGGCCGACACGGTGGGTGAAAGGGCTGGCTAGTCACACTCGGAGTTAACGAAGCCAGCGGGACAAGCGTCGAGTGTGCGGGCATCGGTTGTACCACGGGTGGTGAGCCAGCGAGGACTTGTGCGTACGTCGGTTGGAGTCGAGGTACTGGAGTGTCTACAAACGCTGGCCTGGTCATGGACGCCAACTCCTCTTTGATAACATCCCGCAAAACATTGTTGGAGGGGGGAGGTGGACTCGGTGTCATTGAGAGGCCGAAAGATTGTAGCTCTTCCCGTATAAGCGCCCGGATCATGGCACGCAATGAGGCATCAGTCGTGGTAGTGGTTTCAGAGCTGTCCGGCGGTAACCGTTGGGATTGAAGTTCTTCCAGGCGTTGGCACGTGGCAACAACGTCAGCGACCGTAGTCGGGTTCTGAATGACCAAGGCATTGAACGCGACCGTGCCTATCCCTTTTAGTAGATGACGAACTCTCTCTGATTCAGACATGGACGTGCTGAAACGGTGACAGAGAGCAAGCACATCCTCTATGTACGATGTGTAGGACTCACCGCATTGTTGCTTGCGAGAATCCAGTGTCTTTTTCGCGAGAGCTGAACGAACCGCCGGGGTGCCGAAAATTTGGCGAAGCTGTTGCTTGAAACGCGTCTAGTCCGTAATGTCCGTTTCATGATTGAAAAACCATGTTTTCGCTACGCCCGTGAGGTAGAAAGAAACACGGCGAAGCTTGGTAGGATCATCCCAGTTGTTAGTGGAACTCGCTCGATTGAACTGGTCCAACCAATCTTCCACATCTTCACCTCGAAGTCCGGCGAACGTGGGCGGCTCACGCTGGTGCGCGGTGATAATCCACGATGGATAGGCCGTGGTAGCCGGGGCCGTGGAGGTAGACGCAGAAGCGCCGGTTGGCTCGTCCTGAGGCACGTTACCGGACACCTGGTACAAACGACGACCTGAGCGCAGCTCCAGGAGGCAGATCGGGCTGGGAGAGGACGGAAGATCATAGAGCACACTCCACCACTTGTGATGTAACAGTAAAGGCAACCTTTATTAGGCCCGGAAGACACGAAGCGACCACGCCCAAGGCACAGAACTCGGACAAGCCAAGTCCCCACAGCTGAAGAAGATGACGACCACTCATGATGATGAATATGTGTAAAGATAGATGATGTGCTTAATGGATGCCTACAATATAAACCTTCAGGCTCACCAAAGTTTTCCTCAATCAGACTCACTGGAACTCAAGGTCACCAAAACTTAACCCACCCGGACTCACGGCTCGATTCGCTCGAGTGAGCCGACGAATGTGCTTGCCGACCTATGCAAGCGGCACTGCAGAATTCACGCGGGTTAAGATTTATTCGCTGCCACCGCAGTAGCATTCTTCTTTAAGTTTATGCTGGTTTTTCCCAGAGCATTTGATTTTGAAGCAATAAGGTTGTATCAGGATTTCAACACACACGACCACAATGTTTCCTGTCAGAACTAGCTGGCTGGCCTCTGGCTGCCAGGAAAATGCTAGAAGTGCGAGAATTCACGAGTCCCTCTGTTTTTTTTTTTTTTACAGAAATGTTTCTTTTTCTCGCAACTCAATTTTTACTGAATCCAAATTACACGTTTTTTCCAAATCCTACGTTTTTTTTTTGTTTTTTTTTCTGAATATGTTTCAACGAGGTTCTACTGTACTACATGCAACAAAAAAGTACTAAGCTATAATCATCAATTATTTGGCAACATGACGTCTACGATTTTCACTCACCACCTTCAGAAATCCAAAATTTCCCAGTTTGTCGCCAGCAAAGACGAGAGTTGCCGTCAGAGATGGGTGGATAGCCATCGCGGTGATGCGCGCTGAGACCACTTTCTGTACAACCAGGTCATCCACACTCACTTCCATCATCCTGTCCAGAAATCTGCAAGACACCAGTATTGTTGGGAATGAACACAAAACATGCTTACATCCTGAAATTGCCAAACCTGTGCTTTTCTTGACGGTTGGCCTCCCTAGTAATTTTTGACAAGCAATGCATGGAATCGGCAAATAAAACCAAGAATGACTTGACAGTACACTCAAACCTCGATATAATGAACCGGGATATAACGGAATATTGGCTATACCGAAGTAAAGCTATTCTTGCAATAGATATAGTGTTAGGAATAAACCTTTATAATGAATTTCCAGATATAACAAACCTAATTTCATGTAAAATGCAACTCTGCTATAATGATGTTTCAGTGCATGTATTATTGGATAACATAAAGATAGCTGAGCACAGCTTGTGCTAGTGGTGCAAGGCTAGGTTGCTAGCTGGTCCTGGCCAAATTAAGAGATGCCAAGTTCCAGATGAGTCCCGCAGAATCGCCTCTCGCTATTTCAGCCATACTGCGTCATAGACTACATTAAACACGTAGATTCTAGCAGTCTTGCTTGGCAGAGCACAGCGATTCCCAGCACAGCAATTCCTCCTGTAGGCCAACATTTCGCCCCTAAGGGACAATGATGCTTGACTTGCGCATGCATCACCTAACCGGTTTAATGTAGAGTGCCTCTTTCCCCTGTTTAGTTGTCAGGGAATACCACCGTGAGAATACTTGTACATTACGAAAAACTCATCTTCTCATCTGGTGATATGCAATGTGACTTTCTGAGCTTGTACAAATAGACAAGCGATTATTACAGTATTCAAAATCAGTTCAATTTGAATACAGTTGCATCTGTTTATATTAACTCGATTGTGCCGCGATAAATAGTCGTTCTATTAGTAGTTCATTGTATACGAACTCGTTATAAAAACGTCCACTTAGTGACCAAACGTTTTTTTGTATTTTTATTGAATACAGTGATAACACTCCTTCTAATGACAAGTTAAGCCTTTCCAAATGTTAAGCGATGTCTGTTTGCCCACGATAAAATTAAACCACATTCACAATGAACTCGCGCCGTTCCAATGAAGCGCGGTACTTCCATATCAAATCAGTCATCCCTGGCTAGTTGTGCACAGCGTGTCCCTTGGCTCTCATTGTCGTATGCTGGGTTGTTTGCAGTCTAATGCATGCATGTGCTTGTGCGTTCTTCATGTATGCTTCACTTGCGAGCATGCTCGGGAGCGGCTAGCAGCTTGTTCGCCTAACACAACAAAGACAAATTCGGTAAGCAACGCAAGCAAGCGGCCTCGCACGACGCAGCGTCTGCGAACTTGCAAACGGCGGCACGATGTACTTGTACCACCGTCACTCTGCCGAGCAGATATCGGTAGATGACTGTGATAACATACCCGGCGATGAGTCAAAATGGCCCACTCGTCCCCACTGGCGACCTTGCCATCGCTGTTCTTTGCTGCTTATCTAGATGTTAAGGCACTGTCGCAGCCGCGCGGATGTCGTCACTAATCGACATGTCTCCACCATTACCAAAAGGCGGACAACCTTTTGAGGCACATTGTGATGTCAGCGAGCTGAGTGACGCAGCGAGGTTATATGCAATAAAGTTATCGCTTCTCGAATTTAAGGGTTCTTGCATTCGAAGGTGTTGTTGCTTAATCGGCGGGGGTTGTAGATGCTGAGGACGGTGTCAGAAAAGTTCGCCGTGTGAAAGCTGACTGCGAATCTTGATGCTGCCTCCGATTTTTTCTTTTCTCACTTCAGTTCTGTCTATCAAGAAATGCCTGGAAAGTAAGCGACTTTGCTCACAGAGTCAAAAATTGCGTGCGGTTCTCGATAATCTTGTCGCAAGTAAACTGCAGCAAGGCATGTGCACGTGCGCGCCTACCACATGCATTAGTGTCTGTTATAATACTTTTTTTCACGCTTCGCATGTGCCATATTTTGATAGCGACTGTGTCAGAAGTATTCGTTATAAAAGTACAAGGCTTTGAAAAATGTTTGCTGTATGCGGACTCAGTTTCAAAGTTGTAGCATAGGAAAATCGTAAGTGCACCGAAATATGGTCGTTATAGTCGATATATCGCTATATCTGGGATCTATATAAGTGGGTTCGACTGTATAAACTATAGAAGACATCGCGACATTAACGAATAGGTGTATATTAGTGCACGTGTAACTCTTTATAAAGGTGATCCCTCTGCAATGGAGGCGTGTACAGTTGAACTCCACTCTAACGAACGCCGCTTCAACGAAATTTCCACTACAACGAAAAATTCACGATTCCTCGTCAGCAGTCTGTAAAAGTCAATGCATAAATATTGTCACCACAATGAACACTTTTTTTTCAGTTGTTCCGCTTCAACGAAATTTCAGGATGCGATTCCAGGCTCAGGCACTTATTGCTATGCAGCAAAACCACTCTAACATTTTGATGCATTTTCAGAGCTTGAAATTGCGTCAATGAAGTCTAAAAAGTGCATTGGCACCACCAAAAACCATTGCTATACTGCCGCTATTCAGCAAGCATGGGCGCCATTGCTAGATAGCGATGGCAATGAGACAGCCCTGCTTTTACCACTGGCTTGCTTTGAGCCGCAGACGATCCAAAGCTGAAGCTCAGTCGCTCAGTTCATGGTTTCCTTCTCGCAGCTGTTGGGTGCAACTGCGGCACGATGCCTTTTCCGATTCTGATGCTTATTATGTTCACGCTTGGCCAGTGTGGTAACTAACCAGAGCGGCTGTTCGTCAGCATTATCAACGAAATCGGCTAGCCACGAGTGATGGATAATAAAAATGGCATAGAATAATGCAAAAGTCACCGCTCCACGATACCCTGCCTCCATCTTGGCGTTGTCGAATACTTTTGACTGCGGACAGCTGCTGGTGTTAACGTATTAATGCAACTGTTTGGTTCGTTCACAAAAACGGTTTTAGGCGTTGTTTCAGCCTGCTTTTCACCATGGTCTCGCTGTGCATGGGTGAAAATCACGTCGTGACGCTGCTGGGAAAGAATTGGAAGCAGCGGACATTTATTTAATTTTGGGAATAAACGTTCCTTTGTTTTGCTAGCTCAGATCAGCGATATTTTTTCCCATTTCACTACAACGAAATTTTCGCTTCAATAAAATTTTTTCCGCGCCCTGTTCGTTTCGTTCTAGCGGGGTTCGACTGTATACCATGAATACACCTATCCAGAAAAAATCCACACAACCACGAAGCCCCACTTTAAGGTTAAATGAACATGTTACCCTCACATGTATTTATCAGCTTATATGCTCCTGGTACACTGAATTGTAAAACGTAACATTAGGCTTGTTCGAACAGCGATTTGGGAGAATAATTTTAAACCAAATTCAAATACTATACTACAGCGTCACTTATGATAAAAAAAAAAAAAAAGGTGCATATTTGTCACGACGAAGCTAACTTGCACATTACTTTTTTCTTTGAATTGCAACAAGGCATGCGCAAATTTCATTCTTTTTGGTTCATGACAAGTGGAAACAACTTTGAATTATAGCAGGATTTGACTTTCGGTAGAATGCAAGTTCCACTTTACCAAGTCAACTTTCACTACTATTGCAACCTATTCATTTATTTCGAATAAACTGAAACCTCAATATAACGATCTTGGATAAGACAAAATTTTGGTTATAACAAAGTAAATGAAGAATAGTCTTGCAGTATAGTGCTAAGAATATACTGTTCTAACTAATTTTCAAATAAAAATTTTTTTCGAGTAACATGCAACTTCGTTATGAAAGTTTGAGTGTAACTCAAAATTTCAAATCATACAAATTCACGTCGAAGCGAATTCGAATATTGAAATACTCACCCTATTATTGAAAACATTCAAAAATTCACTCATCTCTAGTTATTTGTAATGTAAAGATGCACAAAAAAAGGACATTCAGCAGCCCCTGATGCAGTAACGTTATGTTTCATTCAAGCCAAGATGAAAAACCCAGCAAAATGCGCAGCGCAGGGCATTTTATGAGTGAGCTCAGAAACTGCTTCCGAAAATCCAGCTCACTCCTGACAATGCTCCCCACCAAACAAAGGGGTGCCACATACCCTCCAGCTTCTCTTGACAGAGACTCCAAAGCCACTTCGCGAAGTTCTTCCTTGACGATGTCCTCGCAGAGGCAAGACCTGCTACCTTCGTCGACACCACCCCTAGCAACCTCCACGAAGGCCAGTGGTCCTGGTCTAATGCGCTCTTTAACTGGCTCCTGTAAAAGGTGAAAGTTAACCACAAAGTCTCTTTCCACTAAGACGCAAAACAAACTAGAAATTGAGAACACGATATTCAACTGCTGATTTTCCGTGCACTCTTGAAAATTTGAATGCTTTCAGAGCATCGCCACAAGCACCATAGATGTCGATGTATAAGAACATATGGAATTTCGGATGCCGAAACTCGGGGGCATCCGATTTTTCAGACTTTCCGTTTAAATTTCGCTTTTGAACAGCATTAACTGAAGACTCCACCTTTGTAGCGTCTAGAAGTCTCATACGTTTCAACCAGCACTTCGAGAGTCTGTTTGCTGTGATGAAAGTGACTTGTTGCCTTTTGGAGCATACTTTGGAGGAGGAGGAGAAGTACTGCTTTGGAGCAGCCATAAGTGTTTTTGAAGCGAATGATTGATTGATATGTATGGTTTAAAGTCCCAAAACCATCATATGATTATGAAAGACGACGTAGTGGAGGGCTCCGGAAATTTTGACCACCTGGGGTTCTTTAATGTTTTCGGAGTGGAAAATTTGCTAGTTTGGAGCACCTAGTGGTGTTTTAGAAGCAGATAGAAAATCTGCCATACAATGTTTGTAGTTCAAAGCATGATCGAAGCATCTCGTAAATATTATTTATTGTAAAATGTACTTAACAGACAATGAATGTAAACTTCCAAAGAAAAACAATAAAAAAAGTGGCTGGTTGTCGAAAAAACAAATGTGCTTTGCAACAAGCTGTCTATTTAAAATACCAGTATTAGAGACAGAAATAAAATCATACAGGTACAGCTTATTGCCGCATCTAAATGTAACCACAGTCCCATATACCTGTTGCCAAATAAATAGTAGACAATCGGTTTGAGATAAAAGCAATCTTGCTCATTTTCACAGCACTGGCCTGCATGTCTAGCTAGAAAGAACGAAGACAGCCTAATGAGCTATATGCCTAATATGCCTGTCTCTGTCACACAAAGGAGATCACAGCCGATAAAGACTGCACACAAGTAGCACACTGGGATGATAGCACACAGATTCCTTTCAATTTCTTGAGGACTTGTGAGGCGATCAGACAGTGAAAGTTCATCACTCTCTCAGTGCCACTTTGGAGCAGTTACTCAAAAAAAAAAAAAAAAAAAAAAAAACAAACCTTTAAGCATCTACTTAAAACACATTCGTTAAAATAGGTTTTTTTTCCACAACTATTTCCTTGTTTATTTTTTTGATGGCCTTCATTGTTATTTGTGTGTAGTTTCACATTACATACATATATTTTTTTGTATTAGCCACCTTACGTCGCATCTGTTCTGTAATTACATTGCTTGCATTTTAGTGTGCCATATTTTATCGTGTAAATAAACTGCCATGACTCTGTGTATTTTTTCCTTGTCTCGTCTTGTTAGAGCACAATTAATTCCTGCCTTCGTTACAGTAATATTGTTTTCAAATTGTTCTCATATTTTTTATCCTTCTGTACAAGTTTTAAAATGTTTTTTTTATTACCCCCTTTACACAATGCCACTAAAGGCCTGCAAGGTGCTTTAAATAAATAAGCAAATCAATCAATCAATCAATAAATAAGTATTACTGTTTGGAGCAGCCTGAACCAGAATTTCTCTTTGGGAGCAGTTGGGAACGATTGGAGCCATTACTGTATCTGTGTGCAATCATAGCAGTATCCATGAAGTTGCGCTGCAACATTTATGTCTGCCTTCTCGAGTCCAACAGCCAGCACTGTGGCACAAAGCCCAGCAATGACAAGCTTTTGAACCAGCCTTCACAGTTCTCAAAGGCAACGTCAAGAAGCAGTTTGACTTTAAATGAAACTGAATGATTCGAGATTCAATTAGTCTTGTAATACACAATGCAACATATCTTTTCATCACGTTCAATTTGATTACCAGTGATACAAGGGCCACTCACTCAAACACAATCCAACACAACACTGTCTTCGTCGTTCTCTTTTCCAGTCTACCACTCACGCGCCGGTCACCGCGTTGTTATGATCCACTACAATATGCATCGATAAATCATTGAGCTAGTACCAGAGGTGGGACAACTAGTGTTCTACACCATTCACCCTAATTCCTCAAATACCAAAGCACTGTTCTGCATAATATCAACGTTCTAAACATTGTCGTCTCTCAGTAACTTTGACTACCTATCGGCAGCATTTCCAGGCCATGCTCAGAAAGTGTTTCAGGCTCCTGTAACCTTGGCAATAGCAGGGGTCACACTAGCGAGCCCCTGGTTGCTGATCCTATGCACAACTGCATGTGCATAAGCTTGTATTTTGATCTTGCCTAGAATATTAGCTATCTCGAGTCACTCACTAACCGACACATATATAGACTGAGTTCCACCTTACTGGGCTTGTACGAATAGTAAACATTAGATTCCAATAATTTAATTGAACTCGAATAGTATATATCACATTTTATAAAGAAAAATTTGTACATTTGTCACGACCCAACTAACCTGCACAATACTTTGTAATCAATGATGGAAGCGACACTTTGATTTTTGGAGCAGAAGAAATGCTCACCTTGCAGCAGCTATTGATGTTTTCCGAGCAGATCGCAAAATATTACAAACGACCCTTAGAGCTTAGTGCATCATTTAAGCCTCTTGTAAATATTAATGTTTATTTTTAAACATATTGCACATACAATAATCATTGCAAATTACAAGAAACATAATTAGGCAGATGAACAATCGTTGAACACCAAGTGTTATTTTCATATTTTGCAAAAGTAGCCCACATTGGCATTTTCAAAAACCAAATGGGCTAAATGAACTAACATTTGATATGCTTGTGATGACCTGAAATATGTTCAGGTTTATATTTTACTATAATTAGAGCAATAAGCCAGAATAACAAGCTTTTTACCTAAAATATGATGAATCGATGCTAGAGAGATAATGTTCATTGAAGTTGTACGAAACTTCTTAGCAGTGCAAATTTTTTCCTGGACAGGTGTATTCACGACATAGCACCCATCCACTGCAGTGAAACCACCTTTCACACGGGTTCACATGTGGACTAATGTACACTATTCGTTCATTTCGGATACTTTGAATTTTCTTGTAATTTAAATTCGAATCGAAGAGAATTCTCAAATTCGCACAAGCTTACACAAAAAGCTGTATGGTGAACCAAAAAGAGAACAAGGACTTTTGCAGGCTTTGTATTCTAAAAACTGAAGGCTCTCAATAATTCAATCTATGGAGTCCCTGAATTTTGTCCAAATTAACAGAACCACTCATTAATATGACTCGGGGCAATATACCAAGTTGTGTTGCAAAGTTTATTGTTTTTTAGAGCTGAAGCAATGTCACACACTAACTATGGCTCACAGCTCTTAACTATGGCCAGTAGTTTTTGGATGTCAGCCAACAGTATTTGGTACATGGCGTGTTCACGTGAGTGATCAAGGGACAAAATGTGCTATGCGCCCTAAAAGCTAGCAACCCTTTCAATATCTTGCAGCGCCCTACTGCAAGACCCTAATGTACTGTGTCAAACGAGGCTGGAGAAACATTCTGCACAATATAAAAGCTCCATACCGTGAAGTTTTTGTTTTTTTCCCTTCTTCCTCAGTTGGCATGCAACTGTCGGTGCATGTAGTTTCGACACTTTAAAGGCAGGCAATCAGATTTATTTACAATGGTCGATGGCATAAAAACACAGGTGTTCAGCAACGAGTGACAAAGACGAGACCCTTTGTTCACGCACGATGTTTCCAGGCACAAATTTATGCGAAGGAGCTGTTTGAATCAATGGGGCTTGGGAGCTGAAGAACTGTCTCTTGAAATGCAACTTCCTTGCGAGCGTTCAGTTCTTTATAGCGCACCCATGCATGGAATATGAACCAAGACCCAAGCCACATTTTAATGCTTGGAATGACGGCCCCCTTGTCAGAGTGATAAAAGTAAAAAAAGAGCCACATGCCCCACACGAGCGGTCGCTTTTCCCAACGCTCGATATCAGCAGCATACATCAGTAGCAGTGCGTATTGTCGGTGTTCTCCTGAAATACATTGAAAACGCAGCAATCCAACCGAAAATTTTTACTTTTATAATAAATAAAATTTTGAAATATTGGGAGACTACTGAAACTTGACGAGCGCATTATCGCCCCATGCACAGTGCAAAACTTGCAAGTTCAGTCCCCAATGGCTGCAAGATTTGTTTTTTTTTCATGAAGTATGCAAACAGTACAAAAACACTGCAAAATGAAGATGAGCTATCCCAAGTTATCGCACAAGCAGAATGCGTGTGTCAAGATTATAAAATCAAAAGCGACCCAAAAGAAATCTACTACAAAAGAATGCATTGGTAGTGATGCCTAAACATAAAAAGGCAGGTGAAATCAAGAAGCAAATGATTAGAAGTTGGGACACGAGATCTGTGCGAACAAGATTTACAAATGCACCCAGTCACATTCTGTCACAATCTCAAGGTTATTTTACTACAGTAAAAGCTTGTAAATTCAAACTCAGTTCACAGTTAATTCAAACTAATCCCCAATGCATAGCAGTCCCCACTGTCTGCAAGATCATTCTTTTTCGTGAAATATGCAAACACTACACAAACACTGCAAAATGAAGATAAACTATCTCAAGTTATCACATCAGCAGAACGGGTGTGTCGAAATTATAAAATAGAAAGTGACACAAAGAAATCTACTACAAAAGAATGTGTGTCCTGATCCTAGCACGGCCCTGTGTATTTCGACGAGAGAAAACTCCGGACAATTCGAATGAATCAGTACCCACAACAATTAATCTTCACTGAGAGCTCCTCGTTTTGATTGCTCCTCACATGAGGGGGCAACGAAACCCAAAGCAATCATAATGTGTAGCAAAACCAAACCAAGTTTACTAAAAGTCTGAAAAAAAGGAATTGGCAGCATTTCTCAGAAGAAGAAAATTCAAATGCTATTCAAAAGCAAGCTGCAAATGATGCTCATGGAGTCTGGACATAAACGCAAACTAATTCAAGTTACCAATCACTTTAGTTCTGATTGCTTTTTAATAATGCCATGTAAATAACATGTGTTTTGATGCCTATCAAGCCTCATTTCTCACTGCTCATGCGAATGCCTGTCAATGCTTGTGTCCGGAGTATGAATTATCAATTAATTCCCTTCACTGTGGGAGCTCCATGGACTGAATTTATCAAATCCCCGGCGTAGCAACACCCAGATTGCATCAACGAGTCCAAAGCGGGCTTTTTTTTTTTTTTGGGGGGGGGGGGGGGGGGGTTCTGCTTGTGCAGCATGGCATGATGTACATTCATTCTAATACCCACTTACCAATCCAAATTTCGCTCAATTTCAACAGTTTTATAGTCCCCTTCGAAATCAAATTAAGAAGCTTTAACTCCAATTTCCAGTTCAAAGTAGAATAGAAGCGATATAAAAGAATCAGTAAGATGAAGAATAGTTTGATGGGCTCATTTTCTACACTATCCCCAACTGATTTTGGTTGCAATAGAAAAGACAACTTTCACAAGAGGCCGGGAGAAGTTTATTACGATTGCTTACGAAACATGCCATTTCGTGGTGAACTGACAAGCTCTTTTGCTTGAGCGATACGGCACTAGAGGTACGTTAATTACATAAACTGAGTTAATGAGTCGTTACTGTAACTGCCTGCCAAGAGACAGGAAAACATTTAAAGAAACATTGACAAACCATGACTCGTGAACGCTTGCTTACCTGGTAGAAGGAGCCTAGGTCGAGGTTCTCAGATACGGCTGGCTTGTTCTGCAGTCGCAGGCTTTTTCTCGCCCCTAAATGCTCAACCTCTTGCTTCGGCTTCTTCCTGCAAGATGCAAAATAAAATTAATAGCAGTGCCACGCGGGCACGACAAACTAATGTATCATTAGTTAAGGCATTGAGTACCTGAATGACATTTTTTTTGGGAGGCTGAACTGCCGGATGTCTAAATGTAATGACATTTGACCTAGTGATGTCAATAACACTGAATTTTGAAATCGGCCAATTTTAGGGTAATAAAAAAGAAAACAGGTATTTTAACAACCCTACTCTTCGTTCACAAATAGTGCAAGTAAGCGTTTTATGGTACAATTGGCTAGAGGTTGTTCCAGTCTTTTACAACAATGTAACTGGTCACTGCTTGTAGGTCGCTGCTCGTTGAATCCAGAGCACAGAATCAGACGTGATGACCCATGTAAAAGCTTTTGCAATTCTGAACTTCACTATGGTGATACAGGGACATAACAAGCCGTGTGTGAAAAGTCACGTATAAACTTCTTTTTACATGACAGATGCTATTTCAAATGTTTTCTGTACTGTCTCTGAACAAGCGTTGGCATCGAGAGTACGCATTTCTTTTTCAAATGTGTTCTAGTGAAAGCTAGCGACGGCATTAGGTGAAAAGTGCAATTAAGGCGAATGATACTTGATTCTCCCACGTGGCACCATGCAAATAGCATTAAATATTAAGGCATTGGGAAGTTAATGACATTTTCTGTGCCAGTGTGCCGCAAGTATGGGAGCCTTTCCACAACTGTGAAGTCAGAAGCTCGTGAAGCCAGCGGCTGCGGAAGTACATTCTGCAGCAGTGGCTTCATGTCATTTTTGCGCGTTTTCATGCTTCTGCCTCATACTAGAGAGGCCCAAGAAAATCGCCAAGAGCACTAACATGATCTCCCCGTCATGCGCACATTAGAAATTGTCAGTGGTGGAGGTCGCCGAATATTGTTCTGCGCGTCTTGTCCACGGCCGCGATCAGACAGAATCTAGCCATACACAGCCTCTCTGTAAAGGTTTTAGTGAACGGAATCGCCGCTCAAACTGCAAAATGAAACAACTGCCTCTCCCCGTTTTGGTAAATGGAACCTCTGTTTAAAAGAACCTCGTTTTGGTAAACGGAAAGTATTTTGGTCCCTTCAGGTTTCATTTAGAGACTTAACAGTAATAAAAAGTTGTGCTGTTTCAACATGCCAAAATCATATGATTATGAGCGACGCTGCAGCAGAGGACATTGGATCAAATTTTGTTACCCGGGCTTCTTACATACGTTGCTACGTGTGCTAGCACTTCACTCTCATCGAAATGTGGCCACTGTGGTGGGAAAGTGCAACTACCTTGGTTGCCTGCATTTTTGTTTTTTGCTTTATGGTCACACAAGAATTTTGTTCCTCTTTCAGTTCTCAAAATAAGCTGCCTTGAACACAAACCTAGAAAAACTTTTTCAACTGCCCATCTCCGAAATGTTCAGTTCCAAGTTTTCTGCAGCACTCTTTCATTTAAATTATAAACACTACACTGCCTTAATACCATTAAATAAAGCTATCTTATTCACGTTTCATTACATTAAAGTTTCAGCATCCATGGAGAGCACAATACTTGTGCTAATCTCGAGACATACACAAATAATCTTGCCATACACCCAAACTGACTTAACTTTAAACAGCTTTGCTGTTTTATTACAATGTGCACCAAACGAATGATCACTACTTGCATCTCTCTATGAACAATTACCTTCTACTCAAAGATGCATATGTGCATGCACTCAATATATATGAAAAAAAAAAAATGCTTATTAAGTTTAATATTAATAAATTATCAGTCAGGGTTACATAGTCGCGAGCAGACGATCATTATATACAATTCTTGCATTGTGGCTCCATACTTCGCCTTTTTTCATCAATCACAGGTGAAAGATACACCAATGTTTACATGAAAACTTGTACAATTTTTGAGCACTCAGGGAAATAGAAAGCCTCTAAGGTCCCCAACATGCCTCTCTCACGCAAATTTTTGAGCACCGCAACAGATCTTGATGTTTGAGTTGGACAACAAAAACAGCCAAGGTCAAACATCACTTGCCTCCACGCAGACCCCACAAATGAAAGAATATACACGATACCACTCCTGAAGCAGCAAAGTGTTATCTTGAGGAGTCTTTGGAGCACCCCAGACGTCGTAGAAAGGGAATATTTTACTTAACTCCCAAGAAAACACAAGCCACACAGGCTACAAAACTCCACACAAGCGAAACGGCATGAGCATCACTCCGTCAACGTCGTCGTCTTTCTTCACTGTCCACAGAAGGGCACGCGCATTTTCAACATTTGGCCATCCTGCAACACTTAACGTCCTCGTTAAGTCTGTCCCGAGAATGTACTTGACCGATTTAACATACAAACATTCGGCCATCCTCCTACAGGAAATACTTAATAAATGACACGAAGGAAACAAGATAAAGAAAAAGAAAACAACAAAAAATTACAGCTATACCTATACAATGCGCGTTAAATTCCTCGTGGCACACAGAAGTTCGCCTGTTGGTTGCGTGAAACTTCGAAGTGAATCTTGTAGCTTCCAGCCATCTTGACTTGCTTAACTTTGAGGAAAACCACAACGCGCACGATACTAGTGTCTTCTTGTCTAAACTGCGGCTTCAATGCTTGGTCAGGCTCGGGCTTCAACTTTTGCTAGCCCGCCTGCGGCGATGAATATTCCTGCGCATTCGCTCGGGCATTTCCCATTTTTTTAATGTCGTCTTGGTTCTGTTGTCTTCGGCTCAGTATCTTCCTTCGGGTCGGTTCAGGACTGTTCATTCTTCTTTCTTACTGTCTGCTCTATGGCAATTTTTTCCGATATTTCCGGTGGCTTCCGTATCGTCGCCTTGGCTTGGTTGGTCTTCTGGTTTTGTCTTCTGCAACATCACCTTCCTCCTGCTTATCCTTGTGTGTCGCCTTTTGTCCCTGAGCTGCTCCTTTGTCATCTTCCTTTTTTCCCCCTCTATGCCGAATTTCCTGTCTTTCGCCATTACGGGTTTTTCATTCACTCTCTCCGCCTCGCTGTTCTTTCTCACAGCACCGGGTTTGGAGTTAGTCTGCTTTTCCCTGCTTCAGCTTCGGCTGTGTCCTTGTCTTCCGGCTTTCTTTTGCCTCCGACAGACGTCTTGGGCTTCACTTCTTCGTCCTCCTTCATTGTCACTGTTTTACAATCTCCGGAGTTCTCGGTGTGCGACGAGGCTTGTTTGAAAAGTGGGTCTACGTGTTTTTTGTGGGCCGCCACTGGTGAAACCTCTGGTTCTTATCGACACTGGGCGTGCCCTGCTTCCGCCGTGGCGCTTCCGGTTGAGAGCAGACGATGGCCTGTCGCGTAAACTCTGGAGCCATAGTGGACAAAAGTACGACCGAAACGCACACCGAAATCCTCCCATGATGTGATTCGTGAGCTCCTCGATCGGTACCAGTCACTGGCAACTCCCAGCAGTCGTACCTTGGCAGTTTCTAGCAAGTACGCAGCTGGCCACCCGTGAAGGCCTGACGTGCGACGAATATTCTCGATCCACTCGCGCGCCAATGGAGCGTCCTCAGAGCCGTCGAAGGCAGTGATGTGGCTTAAGTCGGGAATCACCTGGAACGTTGGCGCTGGTTGAGGTTGTGCCGTGCCGGCCGTAGACAGTTGTTCCAGCAGCGTTGATAGCAGATGATCCTTTTCTTGGAGCATTCGTAAAAGGTCACGAGCCGTGATCATGTCTCTCTGGCTGGAGTCCGCGTCTCCACCACTCGTTCGTTGGTGCGTTCCATTAAGGTTACATTAACAGGCTTTGTAGACTGACCAAACTCATTTTCTAACCGTGACGATTGGATGGCAATATCCCACTTCTGAAATGCTAGCTTGTGGCATCTTTGGAGCATCCGGGACGTTGTATAAAAGAATGGTTTTTTACTCTCAAGGAAACACAAGCCACACAGGCTATAAAACGCCACACAGGCAAAATGGCATGAGCGTGACTCCGTCAACCTCGTATTTCTTCACTGTCCACAGAAGGGCACGTGCAATTCCAAGAAAAGTTATCGAGTGCATTTAAAACTCCACAGCCAGGGACCTCAAACCCACAGCCCGCAGTCCGCACACGATTGCCTTTGTCGCACATATTTTTGAGGCACTCTATGCCGTCACCATGGAGTGAAATTTGATTTAATTTTATGGGTGATATCAGGCCTCACTTGGAACACTGTTTTGAAATAAACGTTTACTTCTCTCTCTCTCTCTCTAGAGGCTAAATTATTACACTTTGCATTGGAGGACACGACTGAAGGCCTGACTAGGTCTTGCTACCCTGGCAGCAAAAGCATAAACACATCAACAAGCATTTATCGTACAGAATGCACTGGTACATAATCATCCAGAATGGTTACAGGATTAAAGAAGTGCACAGGGATATAAACACGGCTGTCTTAATGTGGTATCGATGCAACGAATGTGTACCGATAATGAACTTAAAACTAAAATAAATATAATAAACATAGGTTCTCACCACTATAGCGAGTGAACTGCACAAAAATATAATCAACATTCACTAGAATAAAAAAAAACGATATGACTGGGCACGCTTATGGTGAAACCTACAAACAATGTGTTGATAAGAAATTTTTAAAAGAAAGACGTGTTATATATGACTCAAGCATGCCATTTACAGTAATGTAATAAACAATCACAGGCCATAAAGAACAAGGTGTACACAAATACAAGACATATATATAGTCACAAAATTTTCGAAGAACAATAAGACGATAATTTTCTTCTGTTACGAATTCTCTTGTTATTTTTTTTAATGACCCAACTGATGTTCCATCTTGCAAAAAAATGAAGTAAAGTTGGGTATTGATTTATGATGTCTGGTATAAGCGAGTTTAACCGTTGGTCATTGTAGTTTGTACATGATCTAGGTTTCTATATAACCCTAGAAACAAATACTGTAAATTCAGAATTAGCATCTACATTTCAGTCATTCCGGAGATCAGCACAGATGATTCCGGACTCCCGAGACCCAAGTCCTACCAGAAACCACCCGGAAATCAGATTTAGAAGGCCCATCTAACAAAAGGCAACCTTAAAAGGGCTGTTGACACCTGTGCAAAAAAGCTTTTGCAAGAGCTTTTAGCCCAAGTGTCCCTCCATATTGTTTTTCTGGTAAATAAAATTGAAACCAAAATGAACCTGGCATTTTATTAACCCCCGCCCTCCTCTACTCCAACCTTTTTTTACTGTATTGGCCCCAGCGTGACCCCTGCTATAACTACTGAAGGCCTGTCCGGGCTTTCACAGGGCTTGCACCCGCCATCAGCATGACCTTGACTACTACCCAGGTCACCCGTCTGACCTAACGGGCTAGGCGCACAGTCCTTTGCACCGACCAGTGCTGGCCTTTATACAAAAAACTGAGCTCTTTCTTTTTCATTTAACTCATGCCATAGGGCATACTCGCACCAGTAATAATAAAATAATAATAATATTAAAAAATTGTGTCCCGTTTCATGTTTCAAAATGCAACATCAACATGAACCATACAAGGAAAACGCTTACGGTGGGCGTGGCGACTTCGCAGGCATATGTACAGGAGGAGGTGCCAGGGAAACCTTCAACTGAAAAGGAAAAGTTGTCAGGCCAGTTACAAGGGTTGCTAAACAATACGGCGTCTCTCAAAACCATATGGCGGTTTTGGTATGTTAAACCCCATCAACAAGAGAGTGTGCAAACAAGAGTTGCCAGCCTTGCACACATACCTCATCGACGCCGAGAGATTCCAAGAATGCCATTTTCTCAGCTATGTTCTTTTGAATGACAGATCTGTAAGACTCCTCTTTTTCCTGAAAATTTTAAAAAGAACAAGTAGTTAAAGATCTTAAAAAGCTTTAGACTGTAGAGTATATGCAAACGGTGCTTGTGTGATGCCAGTCACCACACAATAGTGGCAACTTCTTCAATCACTTCGTCTAACCACACTGCCTTTGCACATTCTTTCCTGTTTAGCAAGTGTTCTTACTGAAAAGAAGAGTTATATAGAAAATAACATGCCAACAATATTGCGGCTGTTACAAATTGTCACCATCGGTGAACTGCCCCTGTACGCACAAGCGCTAAGGAAATCAGTTCCAGCCTTCAAGACAATTCAGCTCGTCGAAACGTTGGCTTGAGCAAACATCCGCCGTTTAAGTATTCAACACAAAATGGAAAAGTGCAACATTGTTTTGGAATCCCCACCTGTGTGCTTGCAGGCATACACTTAAAAAAAAAAGAGCAATGTCTGTGAAAACATAAATGCCAACGCAAAAGTACCTCCTTAACTGTTGGTTCCCCTCCAGCGTCATTTTCATCTGCGGGTTGCTTCCTTTTCTTAGCAGACCGTCTGTTGCCATCCTGTACGTAAAAGAACAAGGCAGTGAGTGAGCTTTAAGAAAATAATTGCAAAAACAACAAGAAGAAACTCATATCCACGCCATACAGCAAGCTAAATAACACAGCAATGATATTCTTTGTTTTTGCTACAGCAAGATTAACTGAGAGTTGCACATGCAGGCATAGAGGGTTCTTTCACTTTCAAAGCTCGAATTTCGAAGAGGTGACGTACTATTCCAATCCAAAATAACAGAAAAATTCGGGGAAATATGCAGGCTAGACAAATTTTTGCCAGGATTTGTTATTAGATCATTCCGCCCAAAACAATGTGGTTCCTATAACACTACATTTGGGTACAATATTTGGGTGGGCCTACTACAACTATTTGCACCTCCTTCAGAGGTGCTTCATTATTTAAAAGAGAAGGAATCCCGTTATTTAAAAGAGAATGACTCAAAAACCTGACCTACATGCAAGATTGCTCTTCATACAAATGCCGCTATGCGTTCCTGAGAATGTCACTTCGTTATCCCGCAAGAACTGCACACTTTAGGAGAACATCCCCCCTACGCGTGAGCTCTTACGCGAGCGGGCTTGGATGATTAGCAGGGTAACGACGCCATGGCACATGTTTCCCTGTCCATGCAAAGTCCATACATTAGCCCCGCATTTCGGTAAATGCGAGTAACTGTGCCCATAATTTGTCTAAAGCTGCCAACGCACATGAAATGAATAAGAAGCATGAGCTTTGTAGGGCGGATGTTCGTTTTGCGAAGCGACGGGCGCTTAAAAAGCTTCGGGGACGCCTTCACACTTCGGCTAAGGCGACCACACCGCCAGCTGATCCAGCACAGAGACACAAAGTGAAACGACGACACACCTGCTCAGGTGGTTTAACTGTCACTGACTCTTCCGCTTCGGCTTCCGCCTTTTGCAAACGCTTCAGGGTGAGCCTCGCCTGTCAAGAAAAGCAAAGGTTAGAAAAGCGAGACAGCCCTGAGACGCGCGCGGCAGAGCCGCGCGCCGACCGTGCCTAGCAAAGAGCCGGGACAAAGCACTCACCGAAAGACGCGTGGACGCACCGTAGAACGTCGTCGCCGTGGTCATCTTCAACTCGAGTTCAACTGCCACAGGTGATAAAACAAATCAAACTTTCCACAGACGTGTGCGCACACTACGCGCGCGCTATTCCAACATGCTGCGACTTGCCGCCAACTTTCTGTTGAGCGCCGCGAGCGCGCGAAAACGCCAGGTATTGATCATGTGACTTCTCGTAAGCCCCACATAATGAGTAAATTCCTCACTTTCTTTGCTCGTTGTGTTCGTTTCTGTATTTTATACGCTCTACACAGTATTCGTTAAGCACTGACACGCTTGCTTACAGCAATTTTTGTTGATTTGATTTCCCAATACATGGCCTCTGTGATTGCACAACTAAGCGCGATCAAAACCACTGAGGCCACGCATATTGTTCAGCGTTTCGTCGTTAAAAGTCGCCGCCAACGCGTCAACACACAAACATGGCGGTGGGCGTGTAGTGGATGTTGTAAGGTGGCCGCGTGCTGATGATCTCTAGACGCACGGTTTTTCATCGGCGATCTACGAAACACGTGGCAGACTTTCCTTCGCTTAGTCTCGCGCGCACGCTCGTAGACGAGCGCGGCGATCATGGATCAGAGGGATCAGTTGCTCGCGCTAAAGGTCATGCGCCTGACGCGGCCCGCTCTGTTCACGACGTTGCCAGTCGTGTGCGACTCCCGGGACATACCGGGCAGCATGTGGATGCAGGAGCTGAAGCAAGACCTGGGAGCTCCGCTGGGTCTCGAGCTCTTCGGCGCCGGCAGCTTCCTCATGCTTCCGCAGAGCTTCGGCAACATCTACCTGGGCGAGACGTTTTCCTGTTACATGAGCGTACACAACGATAGCCAGACCACCGTGCGCGACGTGTCGGTCAGGGCCGAGCTACAGACCGACTCGCAGAAGGTGTTGCTCGCAGGGCGCGCCGACGGTGCCGTAGCGGCCGCCGAGCTAGCCCCCAACAGCAGCATCGACGAAGTGATCCACCACGAAGTGAAGGACATCAACACGCACATACTGGTCTGCACCGTCAACTACACGACGCAGGCCGGGGAGAAACTGCACTTCCGCAAGTTCTTCAAGTTCCAGGTCAGAACTGTTGCTAGTGTTTTCTATCGCTGTTGTTATGCATCTGTGCCACGTATGCAACTCGGCGATGAGTTGGCATGCACTTCCACCCCGAATGTTACAAATATAGCGAATTACCCGATACAACGAAATTGGTCATTCGATAACGAGGCTTATTTAAAGCAAGGAACGAGGTACACCAAGTAGTTCTCTTTGACAGCGCGAAAGAGCATGTGTATGCAATGTGCAGCGACACCGCCAGATAGTGCGACCATATTCTTTACTGTTGCCTAGATGAAACAGATTTGTATGAAGTAAGCTGCTTGATGAAACAAGCATTATATATGTATGTGCCAGTTAAAGGTGTAATCTTGTTGTTCAAAGCCCAACAATGCACTTTTTTCATTTATTTGTTTTAACTGCAGTGTGCCCGAGCGAGGTACAGTTGGACAAAACCAGTGGCACTACTTGGGAGCGTATCTTTTGTTGATATGTATAACTCCATTTGTTTTTGCTCAAGAGAGTGCTTATCGCCAGCCTGGCTGCCTGCTTCAGGGCAAAGGCCTGACCCATGTTTTCTTTTTTTTTTTTATTAACCCAGTCCTGTGCACGCTGCAGCCACATTATGCCCACAAACTACATCTGCCCATCTAACTTTCAGCCTCCACCTCGTGCACTTGCCTAATCTGGTGTTATTCTTAATGGCCAGCATGCTCGCTATGTGCCCTGCTCATTACAGAAAGCACTACATGACTTGAGATGGGATTCCTTAAATCTGTTTGCTGCTCCAGGGCGGCATTCTCAGTCACGATTTTCAATGATGGGTGTGCTGTCTTCTGGTTTATCTAGTGAACACTTACTAGAATCACGCAAGTTGTTGAGCAAACAGCACCATCACAGTTCTCTATCCCATACTGCAGAAATGTGCCTTTTTCAATGCTGTCCTTCATTGCAGCGTTAAAGCACCTTGCCAGTAACAGCCATTGAATTCATGTGTTTTGGCACAAGCCTTTCCTGAATATGTTCAAAAGCATTTGAAACTGTTTAATAAGCTGATGTTCTAGTGCTGTACATTGTGTAAAGCAGCTGAATGTCTTAATGAGGTTGTTTAGACAATATCTTCATTATATGTGATATTTGTTCTAAGGACATAACTAAATACTGATATCAGCTATGATCATTTTTATTCGCCTCTTTAAATCTGTGCTTATTATATTCAGGTTCAGTTGTTCTAATTCATAATTGTCGCTTGCACTCCTAAGGCACGTGTTGTAAAAGTCATTTGTTATCGTCACACCTTCGATTGAGGAAAGCATTGTTCATGATGGCACTAAGATTATGTACAATGGTCACCTACCTTGTTTGTGAATATTAAGATGAAGACCCATCGAGCATTTATCCACAGCTCACGAAATGGAATTGCCATATGCATCCATAGTGCACTCAATGTGCAGCTTTTATTACTATGTCTCCTGAAAAAGTCATTTATGACCGTGTGCTGACCCATGTAGGTCAAGGATATGCAGGAAAATCGAGAGTGACTGCTGGGCAATGTTTGTGAACATTCTAGACTGGACTATAATCCGAAATGTCCTCCTGATCATTTGTTGCTTGTTTATATTTGCACAGCTGGAGATGAATCACGGAACATTGTAAGGATTGTGCTTTTTATTTTTTTACACTTTACAAGACAGAGGTGCTTTAGCATGAAGTGTAATTGTTGTCCCAGGTATACAAGCCACTTGACGTCAAGACGAAGTTCTATAACGCCGAGTCCGACGAGGTCTACCTTGAGGCGCAGCTGCAGAACATCACCTCTTCACCCATATGCCTCGAGAAAGTGGCACTCGAGCCATCCCCGTATTTCAACGTCTGCCAGCTCAACACATGCGGAGACAGCCAGAGTGTGTTTGGTCTCGTCAACTTCCTGAACCCACACGACACGCGGCAGTACCTGTTCAGTCTCTCGCCCCGGATGCCGTCCTCAGAGACGAGCGAGCCAGTGGCACAGCCCGAGAAGCGTCGCAGCGGTGTCACCAGCATCGGCAAGCTCGACATCGTCTGGCGTTCGGCCATGGGTGAGAGAGGGCGTCTGCAGACATCACAGCTGGAGCGTATAGCGCCCGGTTATGAAGACATTAAGCTCACAATCGAGTCAGCTCCGAGCACGGTGAACCTCGAGGAACCATTTGAGATCGCCTGCTCGGTGATGAACACGTGTCAGAGGACGATGGACCTGGTACTCGCGCTCGAGAACTTGCCGTCTTCTGGTCTGCTCTGGCAGGGCATGTCAGGTCAGAGCCTCGGCAAGCTGGAACCCCAGGCGACCGTTCGAATCACGCTCGAGGCGGTGCCGTTCCGGACGGGGCTTCAGAGCATCTCGGGCATCAAGTTGTCAGACGCTTACCTCAAGCAGACGTACGATTACGACGAGATAGCATGTGTGCTCGTATGTGCCAATGGAACAACAGTTTCGTGTTGACGGCGGTTTGTGTTTATTTCGCTGTTTCGAAAAGCCTGGTGTCGCCGAATGGCATCACTGCACGGACAAACTGCTGTGTGAAAGCTTTGTTGCCATTTTTTGCAGACTTGTGCGCACTTGCGAGGCTACGAAATGGTTTATATTTGTTACGTGTCGTTAAAGAATATTATAAATGCTGAACGATTTGATTTACTGGTACATATTTTTGTGGTCTTTTTTTTTATATACAGCGATCTTTCACCACGTTGAATAAAAGATCGAAATAAAACAACTCGCAATGTAGAGTTCTGGTTTTATTGGCTAGAGATATAAGCATGCTTGTAAGACTGGCCGACAAACTTTCGAACTACACATATATCTCTCTTTTCAAACAGTAAATCTCATCTGTATTGAACGGAATGTATCACAAGAATGTACACAAATATGGGGGGAGGAGAAAAAACAAACGCCTTCCCCACTGCATTGGCAGCGAGGTCCATGCCCATCTGAGTAAATTAAAGGTGGCTTAGCTTCGTACAGTCGGAGACAAAAGTATGTGGACCACAGTAGTTGACAAAGGATTCCTCTTTGCTGCAGCCTTAAGCCGACCAAGTACGGTCTAAACACTGTGCGCACCAAGAATTAGTTTTTGTAAATTATGAGCTGTTTCAGTGTTCTTAAGCAACCTATGATCTGCAAACTTCCATACACAAATGCACAAGCACCGACTGAAGGGAGCTGCGAGAAAAGAAATAAAACGCATTTTGAGAGTAATCACTGTCGAGTGTGTTGCTGTTGACAGCAGCGATGTTGCATGTCCTGAACTGTGGCACTGCTGCAACAACAAATTCTAAATAAAAGTAAAAACATGAATATACTGTGGTGGTGCCACTTTAATTGACTGAACTTTGGAGTGTACTAGGTATTTGTGCTGAGACTACCAGAGTGCTTGCTCACCCTGGCTTAATCACTTAGATGATGAGTTTTTCGTGCTGTGCGTGTCTTGAAGTTTCGTTTTTTTTTTTTAACAATTGTTGAACTATTTACCCGAAACTTTTTCTTACTCGTGCTACACTCAGAAGTTCAGTTGAAATGTAACATAAACGCAAGCTACACATCAAGCAGGGCAAAAAAGTTTCACTTCATTTCTGACAATTATTACCAATGAGCTCCATTTTTTTTTAGTTGTAAAAGGAATCGTAGACAGTGTTAGCACTCAGAGACGGCTAACAACCATCGCTGTAGTACCAAGTTCATTCCCATTCATGCCTGCTGGAATCTCAAATCAACACCCAATCATTTGTGAGGTGACATGACATTCACGCGCCTTCAGTGCCCTTTTTACTGGACCCAGTAAACACTGGTCTGATTGCGTGGTTTGTAACATGCACTAAAGCCGAGACATTGCTTAGGTTAAAGGATGTGACAGCGCATAAAACTCTTCAATTCCTCCTAGACAGGACTAAAGAAAAAAAAGATATTTAATTGTGTAACAGTTTTGAGCATCAGAATAAAATACAGCAAGAATCTTGTTTTATCTCCTCTAGTTTTCTAAACAAGGCAGAATGTTTTTCGCAAAGGCTGGCTTACGGAATTAGTTACAGACTTCAAGCTTCAATTCTTTTTGTGAAACTGTGATAGCAACAAAAAAAATGACACCTGTGTGACCAGGTACTTTTGCTATCATGTATACCTGCAGTTCAATATCTGCTGGCAGGCACAAACCTACGGCCCATGTGGTAAAATTCAGCAAAGCAGTACTCAGCCGGCATTTTGAAGATCAATTCCAATAGAGAGAGAAAACAACAGTACTTCTTCATGGCCCGTGGGTGCTGAACACAACTACTTCAAGACATAACATTTTGTTGCACGTTTTCGTAGCTACAAGGAGCACGCATTTTAAGCCTCTTGCAGCCAGTTGCATGCGCCTAGCTTTTGATGATGGCGTGAAGCAACGCCCCATCACATGAAAATGAAAGGCGCCACTGTAGCAAACAGTGGCCGCCTGACACAGCAAACCAACCTGTCAGTCTCGCAAAAGCAACATTGCTCGCTCTAATATTGGGGGGGGGGGGGGGGGGATGAAGGGAGGGGGGCACGGATGTATGGACGTGAAAGATATGAACAATGACAGAAGAAGAGAAACACGAGTGCCAACTTTCTGATCACAGAGCCGGAATGATTGCAGTGACCCAAGTTTACAGCCGCTACGACCAGTGAAGCCATTAGGCTCTTTGTCAAGGGCGCTACCTTTGAGCTGGAACTTGCACAAGCCCATCAAGCTGAAAAAATAAAAACAAAGGTGCCTCTAGGCAACAAGCTCTTGACTGGTCGGTCGAGAAACGCGGTCTCTCGGGGACGTTTTTTTTTTGTTTGTTTTTTTTTTGTCTCGGGGAATGATTGGAGACTCAGTCGGCACCCACGATGCCTTCCTCGCCAGCGTTCGGAATGGGCGGGTGCATCACTTTCTTTGTGATGCCTGGGCTGGTGCTCAGGTAGGGGAAGCCGTTGACCATCACGCCATGCGTCGGCGTGTTCAGGGGCGACGGGAACGGGGAGTTGGTGGGTGACGGCGTCGTCGGGTCAGATCGGGGTGACAAGTGGCCTCCACTGCGGAGCGACTTGAGCGCCGAGTGGATCCGGAAGTGCACCAGGGACTCGAGCAGGTAGTCATGGTAGTTGTTCCTGCACAGAAGGTGGCACCAAAATACAGGCCAGTTCCCCATCTGTGCATGTTCAAGTTCTAAAGACAACACGTTGTGAAGAATGTGCTATGCATTTTTGTTCTCAAGTAACACTTCTGGGTATATCCCCATTAGATGCGAATTATGATCCACTGTCTGCAAACGTGTCAAATTTACATAGCATGATTCCAAGGCACTCAGTATTGCATTCCAAGAAAGAAAATGAAGGAATGTCTTGTTTTGTGTGAATTTCAGTAATTCATGGTAATTATTATGTAATTAAGTATATAATTATTATTTATTCAGTCAGCATTAATTTTTGCATCAGAAGAACGAAATATTAGGCCCAAGTGCAAGCACAGTTTGCACGTTGCATTTATTTCAAGCAAAGGAAAAAAAAAATACTCTTGACGTGGGTCCTTGAACACAGCACGTCAACTGGTCGTCGGATATGTTAATGTCACCTGCAAAGTGATCCTCTGCAGCATTACGCAGCATAAAGAAGCTGAATGACCAGTATTAATTCGTTCGGAAAGTCTTCACGAATGTGCACATTGCTGTTTCAAGCCGTTTCAATAAACACACGGTGCACGATGTGTCTCTAAATTTGATCTGTACAATTGTACACGCTGCCGCTGAAGGGGATATTACCATGTTTATATTCTCATGTGTCACCGAGAAAAATAACAATTTTTTTATCATTACTAAATACATTTATGCCATGAGCACCTTCCCCTGCAATGCCAAAAGACCATAGAGGTAAATTAAAATGATTGATACATTTGCAACAGTAGTTTTGTACACTTGTAGTGTTGCACTTTCAAAAGTACTATATACACTTGACTAAGGGCCATGCTCGATTAAGGGCTGCTTCCCCCAACTTGGCTGTCCAAATTTTGAAGAAAAAGAAGTAACAATAGGGTCTTTAGAATCACATATCTATGTATTTTCTAGTAAAGGAACACACCACCTAATACATACGTATTGATGTTGCCCCTCAGGTATGCGTATATTTTGCTTTTTGATCTTCAATGTTCACAAATACGAATGCAGCCACCAGTTCAAGATGGCTGGGCATTCAGCAAGTGCTTAAAACTTGGTCTGGTGGCTGAATCGTGACAGACATGCAGATGCAGCCAAACATACCAAAATTTCTATGTTCAAGTATCTCCAGAAAGACTATAGTTTTTAAAAGTCTTGCCAGCACATCATCGTCACATCTCGCGTACCACGCATTATGATGACATCTAGCGAGGATGGCCACAGCTAGACGCCAGATATATCGCATCATTAGGTATACACGACACGATGGAATAGTTTTTTCCCATACGTGGATCGATAATTGAACAAATATTTCGCACTTCCCTGGAAGGGCCGCACGTCATCAAAATCGCGGCGAAAAATTGAGCTCCTTACATGAGTATAGCTCAGACTCAGCAAGGCACGCAGGACAACAAAATTATTTTATTAAACAGGATCACTTTGTTTCTTTGTCTGTGCTTTCAATAAGGTGTCTATTTGGGCAAACTGGTATGACTTGATGTGTGTTTCACGGGCTTTTCACCATATAATTGACTGATTGTTTCGAAATAAAACATTGTTACAATTACAAGTCAATGTTACATTATAAGTCTCAACCCTCTTCTCTGTCCTTGTCTTGTGTAGTTTGCTTCCTATGATGCGCTTTCAAAAACACAGCCCTACCAGTATGCAACTGCAACTCGCCCGAAAAGCCACACTTAATTACTGCTGATTGGCTCTTTCCCTGATCATCAGTAATTTCATCAGTTGTTACCAGTGCAGATGCCACCTAAAAACAACAAGTTCTCTTTTTTCACCTGGCCTGGTCCAGCCATTCCTTGGCCTTGGTATACTGTTGCTGCTGCATAGACAAGAAGCCCAGCTCGGCAGCGGCGAAAGGCAGCAGGTACGTGTCCTCCAGGATCTGGTCCTGACTGTGAGGTACGAAGTTGAAGGCATATCAGTCATGCCATCCATACAATGGTCTTGAAAAAAATACATGAACAGGGGTTGTGTGGCCGAGCCGACATCTCGACAAGTGAACCTATCTTCTTCAAGGCTAAGACCGATTTCCTCAGGGCTACACTCGGCGACAACTTTGCTTGGCACTGAAGGGATGACTGCGGAGCCAAATAGTGCGCACCCTACAACCAGTGAATGTATTTGCACAATTTTTTTAACATAGAACGTATAAAAGTTCCTTCTTTAGTTTCCACATGGAGCTAGTCAAGACAAAATGCAGCACACACCGGCAAGACAGTTGTATACTTATTTAACTTTACAGCATTTTTGGATGTGCGAGAAAGCCCCGCCCTTTCTACGAGTACGCTCAAACAGTAAGTGGTGTCTGCGTCCACATGAAACACTGATGGTGCACCCCTGTCACTTTCTACAGTGCTACGACATGAGAGCCTAATTGGACTACTTTGTTTAGGGCTACATGTGCAGAAGCTTCGCCCTCATAGCTTTCCCTTCAATGCCAAGAAAAGTTTTCACCGTACTCTCTTGCTTCGTACTCTCTCCTCCATCTTAACAAAAAAAAGTACCAACCCCTCTTTACGGATTTTTTCATCGCAAGCTTCCATCTTCCTTTTCCTGCCGTCTTTTGTATATGCGATGGCCTTGTAACATGATCCAATGGTGCGGTCATTTTTTAGAAACACACCGCTGCCAATGCTGCCAAAGAACCTGGCAAGAGTTTTTTATAGACACCTGGCAAGAGTTTTTGAGATTCGACAATAGTGCCAGTGTCTAGCGAGTACAAGCAGCGGAATTGAGCCCGAGAGTGAATTTTTTTTTAGTAGCAATCATGCATATTTACAACAGTCCAAAAGGGATTATGACTGAACTCAAGCAGCTCTGTTGAAGCCGTGCATAAAGGGGTAACACTGGAGCACGTCAATGTGTTCGGCGAATGTCTAGGTTTCTTCATATCCCTATGGCCAATGCTGAAAGGGCAAATAAGAGCTGCGTTACCCCTCTGGTCAGAAATGGGTGTCTATTTTCTACACCTTTGAATAAGGCACAAGCTTCTAGACGAATCCATGTCTTTCAAACCAAGGTAATAGACAAAAGTAACGGATTGGTGAAAATATTGCCAGTTTTTCTGAATTCAATAGGTCCCGAACATTTCCCTCTTAGATTTTTGTATTGAAGGCACTAGCAGTGCATCTGTCAGTAAATGATGGAGAATGCACATCTCTTCCAGTCAGGCTAAATGTTTTCTCACCACACATGCTTCAGCAAATTGGTAAAAGTTTCTGATGAAGCAAAAAGAAAAAAAAAACTCATATTATTGACACACAGAGCAATCGATTCTCAAGGTTTTTATGTTTGCAGCGCCTAAACATGTCACGGAAAAAAAAAAACACGATTCGTAACCATGTTCTTATTATGTTTGCACACACGTGTGCCAGAACTTTCCATTCGTGTATAACTCAAACCACGATATATCGAACGCGGATATAACGAAATATCGATTATAGCGAAGTAAATGAAAAAACTGTCTTGCAATAGATGTAGTGTTAACAGTACCCCTTAATAACATATTTTCGATTGTAAGAAACTTGGTTTCGAGTAAAATGCAATTTTATTATAATGATGTTTGAGTGCACAAACATTATCGATTCCTTCTGTTCGGTGCGAAGTTACTGCAATATTACTAAGATCATGAATTTATTCTCCTGCCAACACTGCCTTCCATTTTATTTTCATGTTTGCACAGTTGTGCAATACGTAGTGTCCATTGAACACATTGTACTTGGAACTGCCATTACACTTTGTATACTATTTTGTCCTCTCCTTCCCTTTGAATGCTATACATAGTGTTGAAGCAGCGGCCTTGTGTGTTGTGTAGGCAGTCTTGGTGCATGAGCATGGACTGCTGGTACAGTAACAAAACTACCTCCCGGTATGCATAACTGTGCCGGACTAACCTGGTGTACATACTACATACCCTTGTAGCGTAGCACTAGCGGCGCCCAGCCGGCTAGAAAAAAAGATGACAAGCGCTGGTGGATCATGGCGCTTAGAACATTTGCATGCTTATGGCTGGACGCCACGGCCGCCGCTCTATTCTGGCAGCTCGCTTACTGCATGTCTCGCTCTTTCGTTCAACCAGTGACGACGGCACATCTGCGTTGGACGCCATTCCGTCGCTACACTCTCAACAGTTGCCAAGTAGCAATCATGTAACCTACTAGGTGTACGGCAAGTGCGTGGGCAATAAGGACATAACATAGGTAAAGATAATGATACAGTACAGCTCAAAGCGGAGCTGTTAGAAGCGAGCTGAAACGATTTTCTTATTACAGGAGTATCCACAACATGAAGATTGTCAAGCACGTGATGGCTGAAAGGCTTTACTTACTACTTGAAAACTTCGAGGAAGCATTCCTCAGACTGCAAGGGGTGGCCCATGTAGCGCATGCACACGCCCTTCAGCAGCATCGCGAGGCAGTAGTCGTCGACGTACCTCTCGTCCATCTCTGCAACGAGACGTACATGTCGCGTTTTAGTCTTTCAAGCACGCATTGACAAGCATAAGCTGAGACACTACGTGACCGACCTTTCTCCCTGGAAACCGTTGGCAGACAGTTTTCGATGAGTCCCAAGATCTGGAGCAGGAGCTTCTCGTTGCGCCCGATCATGGGGAAGCTGTTCCACATGTACATGATTTCCTGAAAGGAAGATGGAACTCTCCTGCTTGTTTATTCAAGAAAAAGCCTATCTTTGTTTGCTTTGCAGTGTCATCAAAGTGCAACTGAACATCACTAAGTGCAATAGAGCGTGACAGCTAAAACACGAACTGAAAAGCAAGACGTTAGGGGTTCTGGGTGGTTCCAGTTTTCGGAAACTTCTTCCCGACTACGCTGAGGTGTGATGAAAAAGAAATGCCTAGACTCCAAAAAGTCCATGCTTTCTGAAAACATGCATGCACAATACAAAAAAATGCTTACACATTTGTCAGAATCAGAAGCTCCCACAAAAGCAAAATTTCATGCTCTTATGTAAAGTTCATCAATCGTTAGTTTGAACTTTTTCTGAGCTACTGATAACAAGCAGGGAACAGACGTGGAGTTCATAATGAATTTGGCATTATTTGACTGGTTTATGGGGGAATTTTCGTCTGGAATATGTAGGAACATCACCATCGCGTCCAGCCAACCTTGAAGATGCGGCAGCGTAGCTCTAATCATGGGAAGGGTTAGAATGGGTTTCATCTGACTGGATGTGGCTGCCACTACCACTTTGCTTCGCCCCTTGTGCCTATAAAACAGCGACGATGGCACGGCCTTGTTGGCCGCCATCATGTTTCCCTGCTCAACAAATTCTTGCTTTTCACTTTGTGCTTCACCCATGTGGTGGTCCATGAATGTGAGAGCACAATTAAAGAAGAATTGATGCACAAGGCATGCAATGAGCCCAGAAAGAAGATGGACGATTACTGCCAAAGGAGAATTGTCGAGGACAGATAGGCATGACACATCACAAAGTCATTATGTTCAGACCTATCATCATCCAATGCCATAATAGCTTTGCTACACCAGTCATTACTATAGGCATGCATTCGTACATGTGCACATCAGCTTTGAAATTAACTTTGTCAGATCTAATGATTCATTGCACCTCTTAATTTGTTATGACAAGTTGTGACAGTATTTATGTGTCCAGGATGGATTGCAAGACAGAGCAGTCAGGGCTCCAGTCAGTGTTACCCAATTTGCAGGTACTGTTCGAGAAATGGTCACGCAAGCTTTGCACAAAGAGTTTGAGATGAAGTGGAATCGCACTCGAATTAACGGCGATCCACGTTAGAAGTATGCTTATACCTTGTTCCTAGCGGTACTGCGAGGAACACCAGTACAAACTCTCAATAGAATGCTGCACAGGCTCCTTCGTGCATGTGTGTCAATGTTGATTTTCCTCTGGCACACAATCTGCTGCAAAGCAATCTTTCCTAGCACGTTAGCTTACCACGACAGGTAGAGTGAGCCGCTGGCCATTGTCGAAGAACTTCTGAGACTTCTTTACCACAAACTTTTCGATGGGGATGGATTTACCAGCAATTTTCTGCTTGAGCCCTGGAACTTGCCTGGAAGGAAAAAAGAAAAGGTCATGGATCCAAACATTTGGTTCTATATATAGAATCAGACACACTGAAAAAAAAAAGTAATGGTGAAGTTTGAATTACGTCACGTAAGGCTTGGAACAGCAAAGCTGGGCGATTCTGAAATCAAGGGGTTGCTTCTTCGTTGTCGCTAGGTTTTAGCTAGGTTGTCTCTAGGTTGGTTCTCAGTGCAGAGAAGTCGGCGTTAAACCACACAGAGTCAAAGACACAACACGGATGTCCTAACTACATAAACAGAAACTTGCGCCGCATCCGAAAGTTCGCACCCTCCACAGATCCACGTGCACATGATCCTTCGCATCGAACTTTCATCGCTCTGGGATCCTTTCGCTGCCGCTGTTGCCTTTCTTGTTCCCTAGCATTCTCTCACTGCACGTACCACTCAAGCATTCAATACAGACGCCCTCATGAATCAGAAACGTGCGGCCAGGTTGTTTATCACATGCTTAATCCCGGCGGTTTATTAGAGCTTTTCCCAGTTACTGGTTGCGTCTGTATAGAAACCTTAATTGGGATTTTCCGACCGTCTGATGCCTAATATTTGGTGGACCGGCGGTGAGTCGCTTGATGTGCCCAATTTCTGTGGCATGCTTGTTTCTTTGTACAAACTAAAGTTTTTACGTTCAGCCTAAACAACCTTGCTGTTGAAATAGATGACATATGCAGGTGATGCCTAACCATTGTAATGCAGTGTCATAACCATCAGTATTTATCTTGCTCTCAAGATGCCCCAAATGGGTTGCGACATAAGAAGGGAGAATTCTCAAGCTTTTTGTCCAAGGCTCGAGGTCATGGCCAAAATGAAGTTCTCAGCCAAATGCAGTTCTCAGCCGTAGCTACCGTAATTTGATGGCGAAAAATTCCAAGATTGCATGAGTGCATAGATTAACATACATATATAAGGGAATCTCAGATGGTCAAAATTAACTCAATATCGTGGCTTTCGCAAGCAACGCTGCAGAATGTAAGCTAAATGAAACTGATCTGCAGTATCCAGTAGCGAATCAACGAAGACTTACCTGAGGAGGTTGGAAATCTCTTCCATGAGTTCTGTACTTCCCTCTCTGTACTTGGCATACAGGCAAGAAGCCTGGATGTAGACGTAGGTAGCCTTGGACCACCGACAACCCTTGCGCAGGATGTCGGCAGTCTCGATGGCTCGGTCCCAGTCGCACCTGAAGCTGTTTATGTTTTCCCATTTGAAGAAATGCCATTAAATCACTGCTAACAGCAGATGCACAGGCACCACAGGCACGGCAGCACAAGATCAAGCGCGTTGCCTTCCTCAAAACAAAGAGCCTGCGCCTTATTTCTTCTTTCGCCAAATAGAATGCGACCTGACTTCCAACATTGCACAATACAGTTGCACAATTGACCAGCACCCATGTTTCTGGGAACACTAATGATTGTAAATGTAATATGTGTTGTTTGCAACGTCTATTTCAACATCTAGTCCCGGCGATATAAAATACTATGATGTCTGGTGTAGTGTACCAGAGGGGCGACATTTTCTGCACACCGGAATGCGGTCAGTTTCGATTTCACCCTTGAAATTATAAGGTGGAATATCTCGGATTACATGCAACTTCTGTCACTTCTAGAACAAAAAGATATACCATAAATTATCACATATTGCAACTTTCTGGTACATATAAGCAACTGCACTCAAGTCAACAATTAAAATTTTATTCACAATTTCAATTATTGAGTATGTTAACGTATATTTTGCAGCTGGAAAATGTCTCCGCCTCGAGATAGAGTTCATGTTTGAGAACGACAGAAACTTGACTGTCAGAATCTTTATTTTAAAAAACTGTATTGTATAAAAAAAACATACTGTATTACTAAAATTATTTGCTAAAACTTATACACGATGTAACACCATATCAATGCATAAATATTTGCATATGTTACATCTCATATTGACAAATGCTCAAAATGAATTTTTCACAATTTCAATCAGTTCTGAAATTCCAAAACATTTGACGTTCAGTAAGTTTTGGTGGATGGCTTAAATTACCAATTTCTGTTGTGTGGTAGCAATAATGGTGTGCAAGTTGAGTTGTTCAAGTTTGAGAAAATCCGACCCTTGAGAAAATCCGACTTGAGAAAATCCGACCCTTTAAAAATTATGCTACTTGTAGCACAGAGAAATGCAGCGAGAATATGCAAGGACTTACCAATGGCACCAAAGCAGTTCCCAGTAGCAAATATAATGGAAAGGAATCCACTCATTCTGCGCTTCGATTGCTTCATAATACTGGTTTATTGCCTGTAAAAAAAACGAAAAAAAACATGATACTTTAAATTGTCTTATTGTCAGTTCTTCACAGACAGAATGTTTGCTAATGTTCAGGCGTGAAGCCTTCTTTTCCAAGCTGAGATTTTTCACATTAGTACTTTCAAAGTATTTCACTAATGTTGGAACAAATGCACTAACATAGCTGAGTAAGTAAACACTCTACATCTTGATGAAGCAAATGACAACAAAAACACATTTTAAAAGGAATGTGTTTTTGCTTGGATTCCAAGAAGCCTCTAATTGTCCAGTAGAGATGAGGAGGTTACTTTTCTTTAGCATGTCATTATTCATGCCAGCGCACATCAAAAATCATGAGTAAAAAGTTGACTGAACTTTTCTCACAGCTCTTCTACATGACTTTTCAGTGTACTAAATCCCAGTCTCTGTGACTCATTTCTTCCTTCCTTTCATTTCACAAGCAGAAAATTATTTGCATTTTCACTTGCGAGATGTTTTGAAGTACCTGAACATCAGAAAGGAGCGATTGACTCACATTTTCTATCTGGCCCTTGACCTGATGCATCCGTGCATTGAAAAACAAACTGAGTACGCCCTGAAAAAACAGGAAAGGCATACAGTAATAGTCAATGCAAATAACGTACAAATACTTAAATACTGTACAGAAGTAGAACCTTGCAGTGGTACTTGAGTGAATCATACAGGTTCAAGAAAAATGTGGTCTCCTAAACTCACCTTTGGATATTTACTTAGAAGGCCCTTCACTAGCCTTTCCGAAAGTTCTAGATCTCCGTCGCCAAGTCCTGAAGAGAATAAGTGAAAAGTGAGTCCTTGGTGTTCAAAGAATGTGGACGCGCAAAGAAAGTTTGTTTTCAGTAATACTTTAGCGGTACTTGCATGAGGCACGAATAATGCGCTGCCCTCAGTGGACGGAGCGATGATTTGACATTTACGACAGATGTTTGAGTCACGCTCACACTTCTCATTTCTCGGGATTACAAAATATATTGATGGACGTGGAAGTAGTCTCAATGCTTTAATGTATGATACTCCAAGAATTAATTAATTTGAGAACTTTGGCACTTCCTTCAATGACAGCTGCTCAGAATAATTTCTACTTGCATTGTAGTCATCAATAGGTAGCCCGCTTGACATTGTGATCATTGACTAAGAGTACACTTCCCGTAAACTTTTTTGTAGAGGCCCAAACAAATAAAAGCTATATCAAGCAAGGTAAGGACTGTATGACAGATGTAGTAGTGCATCCCACCTGACATGTCGTGCATTTCACCACATGAGACTGCACAATGATATAAAAAACAGTGAGCCGCATTGAAAGAATCTCTATGATAATCCATATGTATCGTTTGTTTCCTAGTGTACCATTTTTCCCATTAGTAAACTGCACAATAGCACCTATTGTTGATGGACTCAGTGTCAGGGTGGGAATAACAATGAAGGAGCCCACCTTCATCCTCCAAAACTGTCACCAGGATCTCCATGCTGAAGAGTTGCTTTCCATAGCAAAAATTCATCCATGTGCAATCTTCTATAAACCATTTTTTATACCAGACAGGTATCGGTCTGCATCATAAGATCTCATCGTTCCAAGTCTCGCGTGAAATTAAAATCAGCTTCGAGCCTTTCTTCTTCAGAAGCTTCCTAACGATACCTTGTTTAACAAGTACACTCCCAGGCCTGTCACCACAATGTTTAAGACACCACTTTTGGCATGAAGGATTGCCAGCGCATCATGACTCGATAGCCAACTAACGACTTATCAGAGTCTGCCAAACAGACGGTGCTAGCTAGCATTTGCGTGAGCATGTTGCAGAAAATTTGGGTTTGACGTGACTGACATTCATACATGTCACGAACGAAGCCTATCACAACAATCAAACTTTTAGGGGCGAAGCTCTTTAGGGTCTTGGCTTTTTGGCACGTCATGTCGTTGTCACGGTCCATCATAAACGGGTGTGCACCATAAAAATTGCCTAAATCTCATTAACTGCCACCAGCCCATACTATGCATATTATGTGTTAAAAGTTCCTCGTCACTGACTAAAACATTACGTTTAGCTTAGAGCGATGTCAGAATCCCCGTCCAAATTCACCAGACGCTCGAGTTTCTTATCTAAAACCAGAGACACAATCGTACATCTCTACGGTACAACAATCTACTTGAAATGGCACTTCTTAAAGGAGGCCAGCAAAGTCGAACATGCATTGGTAAACAGGTGGCAAGTAAAGCAATAAAGAGTAAAAAATTTGCTATCGGAAACACCAATAAACACCGCTTGTTTCACCCCTCCCCAGGTTTAACGATAGTGGAGGTGAAACACCCTTCCAGTTTCACAGTTAGAAATTTTTTTGAAGCAGCGTCAGCTTCGACAGTAAAATAACTTCACTGTATCCAACATTTACTACAGGCACAACTCTGCACATGTGTATGGCAGTGAAAAACATTCGATACTTACTCTGTAGTAGCCAATAATCCAATCCAATATTCGGTATTAAGGTCTGACTACAGTAAAGACCCTGGCAGTATATTTTCTAGCTGATCACAGGAAAATTAGTACGCAAGTAATGAGAAACACAACAGCAAAGAGAGGATAGAAGAGGCCATTAATCTTACACTAGAATAGAAAAAAAGAAAAAAAAAACACGAGAGCATGTAGTTTGGGTTCCAGTGAAATTGTTGCAGCACAACATTGACTTCTCCATGTATATTGTGGGCTTGACTTGTGATTTACTTTGTAAGTGACAAGTTCAAACTTTCTCTCTACTGCAGCTGTCTTAAAATGGCATGAGATTTCTAAATGGAATGGTCTTAAGAAATAAAGCATGCTCAAAAAGAAAACAAAGCAGCTTTGCATTAGTGCTGCCAAGCCTGACGAAAGCGTTGAGCTCAACGGCCTTTTTTGTCTTTCTTTGACTTTCTTTTTCTCTTTTCCACTCTTCCTTTTTTTTTTCTCCTCTCAGTTCTTGCTATGTCTCTCTTCTCTCTGCTTAAATTTATTTATTTCTCTCCCTCCTTCTCTCTATTTTGTCGCTTCCTTGCTATTTCTAATTTTCTCTTTCTTCCACCGCTCTCCTTACTTCTTGCTAACTTCTTTTTTCTTTGTCTTCCTTAGTTGATTCTCTTTCGTTCTTTCTTTCTTTATCTTGCTGCCTTTTTTTTTACTCTATTCCTATCTTTTTCACTCATTTATGCCAGGATTTTCTCTCTATCACCCCCCCCCTTTTTACCTCCTTCTAGCCTTCATTTCTCTATCTCATCCATTTGCTATGCTCTACTGAACAAGGCTTTGCTGTGGTTTGCTAGCGTGCCCGGATATCCGAGTGGCCGCAACGATTGCCTTCAGATCGTGCCCACGTGTATTTGAACTTCACCTCTGGGGGAAAACTTTTTCACCACAATTTCTTCCGTCTCTCCTTCGTTCCACGTATTTCTTTTCCTCTTTTTATCTCTTTCTTTCTCACTCGCTCTGCTCGTTCTGTTGCCCACCAAAGTAATCGCATACCACTCCGGCCGAAACGATGCACACATTCTGGGAGCGAAGCAGACGAGGTCGAAAAGAGTGCATGCCGGTTCATGATAATTATCATTTCTGTTCACTTATAGAGAGCCAATGGCGTGCTTAAACTGCTCCGCTGTTTAAACATTGCACACTCCTTACCCAGGATATAGAGGACGAACGTGTGATACGCCACAAGCACAATACTGCACAGAGGCCCACGGAGGTAGTCTTGCATCATGCAGCCATCTTCTAGTTCTCGCAACCCCAGCACCTGAAATTTTAACGTTGTCAGCGTTACGAAACTTAGGGCACTGCTGCTGCTTATACTGGCAAGTTCCCATAATGAATGCACATGAAAATTGGGAACTGTCGAATGCAGATTAATTAAATAATCAAATATGTATTTGTGCAGTGCTGGGTAGTGAGAGAGCAACACAGTGAGAAAACAGAGTGTAAAGACAACACATGAAAGGAAATCGTTTCTTTCTTTCTTGAACACAGCAACCTCAAAAAGAGTTTTGCATAGATTCCAGTACACTTGACAGACTTCTTGGTACTTTAGCAATATAAAACGGTGGTGTGCGGCACTTCCTCTTCCTGTATTTTTTTAGTTTAATGCCCCACACATTTGAATAAGTTCCACTGGTACAGACAAGAAACAATTAAAGGATGTCAACTGTCTTGATCGATTCTGTATTCGTTCCAAAAGGTAACTGTTCTTAAAATCTTCCTGCCTGAATAGAGAATAATAGTCCATCTTTTTTAAAACATTATAAACTGATAAAGTGAGATCAACGCACATTTGTAATGCCCTAGACCCTCACCTTGTTTCCGGAGAATCCTATGAATTCCAAGAGCTTCAAGATTCGCGATGGAAGTTGAGAGATCAGCTGCGATAGTCCGGTGACAACCATGTTAGCTAGCAAGTCAACGAATCACCTCTGAAATAAGTTACAGGTACAACGTGCGAGATAAAGCGATCTCACCAGGTTAAATGCACCAACGCCCAAGTGGACACCGCTCTCAAAGTGTTCCTTTTCCTTTGAACTCTCCCAGTTCCTTGTTGCCAGCATTTGCATGCATTCTCTGCAAGCAAGAGGGAAGCACACCGATGCCTATTAGTCACACGAAAAGAACCTTTATGGCAGATTATTAATGAAAACCAGCAATTTCATTAGAACTATGTCAAAAAAAAAAAGGAACGATCCCTCAGGATTCTCCTTAATAACTTATTGTTACATTGCAGTCACCCCACTCTACATAAACCGTTTCATGAAAATAAACGACTTCATATTGCACGCTCTAAGTGAATGTCCAGGAATTTTTCAGAACTACTAAAACATAATTATTGTCACATTGCACTTGTATTTATCGTGTAGTTCCACTGTGTAATATTGCTGTGTTCCTTTCTCCTGTGTTATCGTTCTTTTCCACAGCACCAGTCTAAGAAAACCATTCGTTGGTCCATCGGCATGGGCGGTAAGTGCTTCTAGCTACAATCCCACATCAATCAATCATTCAATCAATTACTGTAATGTAAGGCACTAGTCAAGCTTGCACGGCTGCCAATCAACAAACTATTAGAGCAATCTTACATCAAGTGTGGTTGATATTACACAGTTGTACCACATTATTTCGTAGTTGCAAACAATTGCTGAAAATCAATGACAATAAAGCGAAACCACAAAGTAGCCCTCCATCTTCACTTGATGCATGCAATAAAAACTTATTTGCCTTCAATAAACAGTTCCTGCAAAGTGTCACAACTTCATCGTAACAATGAACGACTGAAGGGAATTTTGAAAGCTACTTTGTTCGTTAGACACACCTTAATCAAAATGTTGATATTAATTAAAGTGGTGTCATACAAAATAACAAGTTACTCATGACGAAGTGCCTTCCCAGGCCTTCTGCTTTTAAACGAGGATCAATCAAACAGCTGATGCAAAGCAATGTCATTCGTTACAATAAGACTCCAGTAAGTGATCCCACTTTTTTTCTTCAGCAAACAACTGTGAAATCAATGTACGCTACTCAAAGAATGAAAGAAAAGAAGAAAGAAAGAAAGAAGGGAAGAAAGACCTTATTGCGACTTTGTGACATAGTTTAAAGTTATGGTGGGGCATGACTACATTATACACGATGAATATAATATCGCTCTTCTGCGCAGTTATGTGGAAGATGAACTTTACATACGAGATATTTTCGCCGCTCTGAACGCGATAGCTTTCGAGGCATAAACATGAAGGTGAAAAAAAAAGAGAGAAAAAAAGTGTGCTCGATGCGCGCCGAATCAGCAACGAAGGAAGATATTCAAAACTCGCAATAAACGGGCGCAAAGCGAGTTATTTGTTATTCTAGGAGGTGAAATCTGAAGCGGCAAGGCAGGCAGCGGTGGTTGTCACCACGCATGAAATACGGCCGCGCATAAATGCCGCCGGCCGGAAAAGAAACGCTCATCGCTACCCGCAAAGCAACTAAAAGCGTGCTTTGCCGCGCTATCACATTTCATGCGGCGAAGCCGAACTACAACGCAAGCTGCTGTTCATGTACGCGGTTTTGCGCTTTTGCCTGCGTAAGTGATTCGCAGGACCGAGGCTTGCTTTTTCGAGCGCCTGCGACGCAGTTATATCAATATTCCAACGCTTCGGAAAACTATAATGGTATCCGTTAAATTTAATGTGTTTCTGTTTCCCGGTGTTGGCGATTCGCCAGCGGGTATTCCCGGTTAACTCTTATCGCGTGCTACACCGTTTTGGGCGTTGAAGCGTGAACCTATTCATCCCGGCAGTCGCTTCTATCGCACACTTTGTCACTCTGAAGAAAAAAGGAAGAAAATAAAGGCCTATCGACCGCTTTATTAAAGACCCCTTTTACAGTTATCGACCACCAATCTATAACAGCAGTTTGTATCGGCGAGTACTAACCAAGGGCGCTGCCAGGAAGGAACGGGGGAGGGGGTGGGGGACTATATTAAAATTTTAGCCCCCCCCCTTTTTTTTATTCCCGTAACACTGTAATGCTCACCCTGCTCACCCCATAGCAATGTGACATGACACTGGCGAAAAAGGTCACGGATTGGCGGAAAGGCCCCAACAACGCCAGCTTCAACGACACTGACGACTGCGTTGTTTGTGTCTTTCTACAAGTACACGTTCTCGTTTGTCACTGCCATGTTACGTATAGTTACAACTAATGGTACATTCCACTGGTCGTTTTCGAGCGCTCCGGAGGCTCTCAAAAATCTACGTATAATAGCGACTAAGCACTGCCGCTAAAATATTCGGGCAAACAGACGTTCAGCAACGAAGGACAGGACTTACATACCTCTTTATTCTCGTTGCAGAGCCTCAAAACTGCCGAATTCGCCACTACGAAACACGGCCAGAGCACTTGAAAACGACCACTCGAATGTGCCGTAAGACCAACAAGCCTATGTTGTACAGGGGCGCCCTTGCCCCTACTAAAGGTCCTTTGACAGGGACATTTAGTTCCTCCTTAAGGGCCAAATCCCGGCTCCACCCCCGGTGCTAACAATATCCTCGTTTGATGTAGAGAATGAATGAATCAATCAATCAATGTGCAGCTCGATAGAAGCGCAAGCCTCACTTGTAAGACTGGTAACAAGACCGGATCTTGAGTCCTCCCTTGATGAAGGTCACCAGGCTCTGATCTTCGACGAACGTCAAAATGGCGTTCTCCAGAAGGCACTCGGCGTAGCACAGCTCCGCGTGGATTTCCTCTGCAAGGGAGAGTCAACGTCGTTACGCCGTCGTTCGGAGACACAAAACGCCACGGCTCCTACGACCGCTCGTCGGGCGACCACTCACGCATGGTGTAAGTGTTGTAGTCCGGCCGGAGCAGCATCCGCGCCACGGCCGAGGTTCTGCGGCGCATCCGGTTGCACACGTCGACGCCCTGCCGGATCGCTTCCTGTGCACTCTTGATGTCACTCTGCGGACGCACACCCAAGCGTCTCGGTTCACTCATCACTCCCGTCACCAGTGAACGAAAAGATCGTCACCCGGTTACTATTTTTAGAGTGGCAGGAGCGCCGAGCGATACTCTTGTTTCTTTCCCGAGCACTACTCATCAAGAAGTTATTTCTGCCTTTTCTAATAATCGGGGAAAAGGCTTCCCAAAACACACGAAATCATTGGTTCTGGATCAAGTTTAAGGATGTACCGTTTTCGCGAGATCCCTACTTCTGTTGATGAATATTCTAGCCCCCCCCTCTTTCACGCAATACTCCTACTCAGGAGCCTGCGAGGTCTCTGTAAATAAATAAATAAATAAAGTTCGGAGTTTGTATTTTATACATATATAATATGTGACCAGAAAAATGAGGGACAATTAGCTGCCCAACTAAAGAAAAATAACTCAATGAATTCAGTAAAAGAGCAAAAAGCTTGGTTGTGAGCAGCTGGGAGCAGTGCGGCACCTGGCGGAACAGACCTCAACCTCGCGCTTCCTTTCACGCGGCCTCAGTGATCCGCTTCGGCAGAGCGTCGAAACGCAAAGTTAACTCGGGAAGCACGCCAGGGAACCCAAACGCCGACGCGCGAGTGCCACTATAACGAACAACTAAGTCAGGCTTCCAGAATAGACTGCATGAAACCAGTTCACTACACCCGCATAATACGTTTTCCAGGTTACTACTACGCATTCTCGCGAGCTGATGAAAATCGAAGCATTTTACGCTGCATTAAACGAAAGACAAAGTGATCGTACCATGTCTATGGTGAGCACCGCCTGCATGAACATGATGGTGGACTGCCCCAGTGCATGGTACATGCTTTCGTGGGCCCTGTATGAGCACAGAGAAAAAGCGGTTCAAACAGTTACATTCAGAATCTTTTGAGCATGCGAGAGTGTACACGGTAGCAGCAACAATGACAAATTAAAAAAGAAAGAGATAAATACCAGAGATCGGCAACCTACGCCTCACAATACAGCATTATGTGCCCCACGACACGACGTCAAAACGCCACCCCTCCCCTTAACTAACCGATGAATGCCTCTCGACTAACCACCAATCAACACATACACGACATTCCAAGTCTGTCGTTGAGCAAGTGAGTAGTTTCGATGTAGATATGTGCGAGTTGGCCAAGTGTGTTCATTACGAAAATTCGCATGGATAACTTTTGTTCCGCTTTTAGCCGGCATTTATACATTGCAATTTGGTAACATGAGTGCTGAAGCTAAACACTATTTCTGTTCCAGTTTTGTACACGGTTTGTATCAATTTGCCTATCTTATTTCCGTTTGTCTGCAACCGCCCCCCCCCCCCCCCGCCCAACCTTCCGCCAATTAGCAGCGCGGCGTCTTTGCAGTGTCGGCTTCATGCCATTTGGCCTCCACCCGATAAAGTTGCCGACTCCTGGTATATACAAGTATATACCATACGCACTATCACTATAGGAAAAATAACACTCAATGCGCAGTGAGATATTAGTAGCATGTGGCCCTATACGACTTCAGATGAAAATCGCGAGCAGAGAGTAACAAGTCTAACGACTTAACACGATCATAACAAAAGCCGGCAAAACTAGCTGCATTCATGCGCACAACAGAAACAGCTATAGTCCGTGCTGATCGGCTCGATGTTTCTCGCTAAAGCGACTTGCACGTGCGGTCGGCCCGCATTGACCCCGTCTACGAATCTCTCGCTTCGGGAGAACCCAATACAAACTTTGCGGCGAAATTTTCTGAAACATGTGTACACCAGTAGGCTTCGCAAACACCTCTTCAGTCGAGTTCTATTTCTGCGTGTCATTTAAAAGCAATTTAACTGAAAACTAATATATAAAACTGTTAAAAAAGTCCCTTGCAATGGTCCCTTGCATAAATTCACTAACAATGTTTATGCGTAAATCTGTTTATACTTCATTAGAAAGCACGGAACAAATTAAAGCGAGACCAGCACCTCAGTGGCACTGAACACGTTCTTTCTTGCCCTGCCGCTGTCCTGGGAGTGCGCTATATGCGACGTTCCACAACTTGGACAGTCTATTTCAGCGCGTGGTAATGGGATAGCGCTCTAGAGATGGCCGAATGACACAATGCAGTCGTCACCGCTGGCTATACAATGCTCCGCCCAATGAGCACGCATTGATTTGACAGTCCACATGACAGACATACAAAATACCGCCACTGGTCTTGGTTAAATTTGTTTCGAGTTCTCTATATGATATGCTAAAGCGCAGTATAAACGCGCCGCTCACTTGGGCTTCATGCGCTTAAGCGCTTCGCCGAACTGGTTGCTGAGCAGCAAGTCGAGGGCTCGGGTCGCCTCTTCCGCAGCTCGCTCCACGTTGACGGTGTCCGCAGGCCGCGTCTCAATCCTGGATGAAAAAAAAAGAATCGTGGAGGCACAACCCAAGGTGGACATTTAAACAAACAGATCACGGCATATAGTTTCTGTTTCTTTTATTGAAGGCGCGTATCGCAACAGCAGAGGTTGCAGAAACGTCCTGAGCCTGAAAGCTCACCTATACTGACACCTTGCGTATGGCATCACGGGCGCAGTTTCTTTACAGACGAAAATGTTTTATACCGGGACCAGCAAACGCGTCAGCAACGTCACTTCCGTCACGGAAATAACGTCAGCAAAACGCGAACAAACAAATCCTAAAGAAAAAATTTTAACGTGCAGAGGTACTACGACGTGGCGACTACTATGACGTCAGAGCATTCCACCTATTAAGGAGGGAAATGTTACGTTGGTCCACGTTGTGGCTGCACCATGTTTTAATATGTTCAAGAATGTTTGTAGGCATATGGTCTCACCTTTCCTCAACCTAGAAAGTTACGCGTGCTCCAACTAGTTTCTTAATATTCCTATTGACCTGAGAAGGCACTTGTACACAACGCGTGACTGATACAGCGTTGCGACTGTTTTTGTCTCTCTGTGTATACATATATGTATAATAAAGCAACAGTTCTCTAAGACGCCAACGTGACTAACAAATAAAGTAAAAAACAACCATAGATGGAGCAGTGGCGAAGAACATCCAACAGATTTCTGACCTGATCGCGCTGCCAAAACGGATTGTATAGATTGGTTTACGGAACAAAAACTATTTCCAAAAGCAGATACTTCTTTTCGGTCTGCCGTTGGCTTCGGTATTTCGGCAACGTTTGTTTGTCTCGGCCTACCTGAGAACCTGTGACACAAGCACGATTATTTGTCCTCAGATTTGTAGATACAAACTCGGCAGCTGTTTTATGAAATGAACATTCCATTAGACACTAAAAAAACTCACAGGGTCCCTTATGCATTCACCAGAGACAACCCGAAAGCTATCCTTTTTCTCACAGTCGATATACTGATACTTTCCCGCAACCATTCGAAAGCTTTCTTCATCTAATGTGACTGATTGATATGCAGGGTTTAACGTCCCAAAGCCACCATATGATTATGAGAGACGCCGTAGTGGAGGGCTCCGGAAATTTCGACCATCTGGGGTTCTTTAACGCGCACCCAAATCTGAGCACACGAGCTATAACATTTCCGCCTCCTTCGGAAATCCAGCCGCCGCAGCAGGGATTCGATCTCGCGACCTGCGGGTCAGCAGCCAATCTGCATCGAATGTGCATCTTGTATAATAGCAAACGTAACATACCAACACCACACTGAGAACTTCTTCAGGCGGTACAACATCCCCCCCTACATTTTCGTTCTACAACGGTTTCCTACATCGCGTATGGCACTACAGTGTAAATTCAGAAAATAGTGTATTGAACGAAATAGCCTGTCTACTTAAAAACACAGCTACTTATACACCCATCACGGAGAAGTATATGGTCTATACCCCAATCACGAACAAATTATGGCATGCAAATGTTACATTCAAATTACTGAGATGACTTAATTCCCTTGAAAACGCTGGCTTTAATACATCAAACATAAGGCAAACTAAATGAGCTTCACTTATTCAGTAACTCTCCTACTTTATTTTTTTTCTTGCTAGAATTTAGCACTGCGTTTGTGACGAGTGTGCTTGAGCATGTAATCAATTCACATTGTCCGAAAAAGGTGGTTTCGTCGCGCGCACCTATATTTATGTGCTATACATTATATTGTATTTTTTTCTTGTGTTTTGTTCTTGTGTTGTGTAACTGTTACTCAATGTTGATGTAATCCTGGATGTTCACATTACTTTTGCTGGTTGCTTTTTCCACCTACACTAGATGCTGCGTGGCCAACAGCTCTTTAAGCTGCCTAGAGCAGCTTTTTTCTTGGCCCCTTACCATTGTATAACAATACTTACAGTGGAAATAAAAAATGAATCAATGAATTAACGAGATTCTGCAATGCCTCAAAGATCGCAGGCACCTCACCTGTTTTCGCATTGCCGCCACGATCATACCAGCTTTGGCGAAGCTACGTTGTCATGTGATGACGTCATCAATCTACGTCACCTCACGTGACGCCACTGTGACATCATAATGACGCCCCTAATTTTGGCCATCTGTGACATCGTATGGTGAGGGCATCACATGATGAGCACTTGCATCGCTCCTTTCCGACGGCACAGGACGCCGATGGCCAAATTTGGCATTTGATGAGGCCCATCTCAGCATGGACACAATGTCCATGTTGTGTTAAGATGAGTAGTTAAATATATATATATATATATATATATATATATATATATATATATATATATATATATATATATATATATATATATATATATATATATTCGACGACGTATAGAATCACTCATGCAGCAATTAAACTACCGATTAAACGTTATTTCATTAAGAATGTACGAGAAACTATGTCTGTTTCATCATCCTCAAACTATTTTTGCGCTGACTGTAGGGCGTAGGTCTCTCACATTGATCTCTAGTTTACCCCATCCTGTGCGGGATAATTCCGCTTTATTCCTGCCAAGATCCTAATTTCTAACAACAGACGCGCGCTGAGTTTTCCTTCACGGGGGAGGAACGAAGATTGATCGCAGTGCCCCCTCTCCCTATTCAGTCAATGTGTGGGCAGACTTTGCGCCACCCCTCTTGAGTGACTAGGGGAAGAAAAATGGGGGGGGGGGGGCGCACGCGCGTTTCCCATCCCTCAGTGACCATTCTGCTGCTCTTACTGACCACCTGTCGTCCGCATTACGCCATTACGCATCCCGTGACCAGCCCAGGTCCTTGATGTCCACTATAACAACGACTACACCTGTTCTGTTTGTTATTGTACACAAATTGAGCACGGTTCCTGTGCTCCCTTACCCCACGCAAAATAACCTTTCTAGAACTATTACAAACCTCAAAATGGAACAACCTACACCTTCTCAAAATATCCATAGCCCTACGTTATAAACTATCATGCAATCTTATAAGTTCCACTTACTTACCTCGTAAATGCGATTCTGGCCTTATTTCAGCGTGTTACAAATTCTATCGTTCCTCATTGATGCTTTAATTTGTAGTTTCTTTTAAATTGTTTTCCTCCTTCGTGAAAACTGTATAGCAGAGGTACTCGAAAAAAAAAGAAAATATTTAACCTATTATACATTTCTCCACCTACAAGGTAGCCAACCGGGCATTTGCCTGGTTAACATCTCTTCCTTCTCTTTTGTTGTTATTCCTCCCCTTGTGTTTCGTCTATTTTCATTTCCAATGGTGTACTATCAATTGTGTAGTGTTGAATGTTTCTTCATGAAAAATTTACATTGTATTACATCCCACAATCCCGAAAGATCAGTGTTCTCGTATGATTTATCTTACTGATTGTATTAATGAATTGTGTACTCTTGCCGTCCCTGAAATAATCACTTCTTGTTAATGGAAGGATGAATAAAATGAATAAATAAGTAAATAAATAAATAAATAAATAAATAAATAAATAAATAAATAAATAAATTTCAGAGGTTAGAGAAGAACTTCGCACAAACTTGTACAATATATTACCTTAGAAAACTAAACGAGAATAATTAGGTGCACAAAAATGTACAAACTAAAATAACTGTAGCAATGTTAGGAAAAGTGCCGATCGTCATACCTTGGACTGGAGACATCGAGTGCATCCTCGAACACCTGCGCAGGCAAAGAAAGAGAAGACGATTGTCAGGCTACATTACACACACACACAAGTTAAGCGGTCACGAGTACAAGGGACACGACGTATATACTTCATATACAGGAAAAGCGGACATGGCTTGCCGTCAATTGCATGCGAGGCAAGGACGGCGAAATTCTTCAGCGTTTAGCAATCAACTGTCAATGTATTCAACCATCAATCACGGATGCATCGAGACTTCCCGAAAAAATTAGGTTTCTAAGAGAGCTTACCAAAGACATTGTTTATTCTTTGAATGAAAATATATATTGACAAAACAACGGATAATAGGCGCAAAACTAACGGAAACACGTGGGTCGAAAGAGTTCGACAGAATATGCCACCTCGAAACCAACGTCACTCAGGGGAAAAAAAAAAAGGCAACGTGAATAGTTCTTGCGAACAACAACCGTCAACAACCCGTTAATTTCAATACACCCATACCGTAAAACAATGCATCAGGAAGTCGATCAGTGCATGTTAATTAATCACGGGTAATAGATTTCGTAGGTCTTGTGTTCGTCCCCCGCACGGGATATTTCGTGTTGAAATATAATTTTCTTTGTTCGTCGCAAATGCTATGTTTGCGTATCGCCCGCCACGGTGGTGTAGAAGTTAAGGCGCTCGGCTGTTGACCTGAAGGTCGCGGGTTCGACACCGGCTGCGGCGGTGCACGTTAAAAGAACACCAGATGTTCGAAATTTACGGAGCCCTCCACTACGGCACCTTTCATAATAACTGCCTGGTTTGGGACGTTAACCCCCATATATTATTATTATTATTATTATTATTATTATTATTATTATTATTATTATTATTATTATTATTATTATTATTATTATTATTATTATTATTATTATTATTACTATTTCTAACGTATGCCTAAATCACCCCTACGTCACGTGATGCACTATATAAAGATCAAAGACGTGTCCAGGACCGCGGCACTTGATTTGCGAAAAGAAAAGCTAAATACTCGCTTAGCACGAGAACGCATAGCTTCTACTCTAAGCGTCTCGGTCTGAACTATAGTTTTTTCGCGACCGATACGTTTTAAATCGCAATAGATCCGGAACACGACTTAGGTCTTAGATCCGAAGGCCCACTTCCGGTGGGCCTCCGGAAGTGCGACATTCTAACTTCTTGCTTTTCAGTTCTTCTTTCTCTCTCTTTCCGTCTCTGCGTTTCACAGACTGGTTGTTCGCATTTGCAGTGGAATCAATGTCTGGTATATACGTGTGTGTGACACAATGTGTATTTCTGTTAAGCAAGCGTCAGACCGTTGGCCTTATGTCCAAGTAGTGAGAGAGAGGGATAAATGTCCCTGACCAATCAAGAAATCATTCGTGATTCACCGCCCCACGTACGCGCATTGCAGGATCCACATTCCAAGTGGAGAAACGCCAGAGATTAATCGCGTTATAAACCGTGAATCGGTCACGAAAAGTCTCCACCACAGGGGACCATATATACATCCAGGCTAACAGTGTTCAACAAGTAGAAGTGCCTACGCAGTTGTGTAAACCCACACACTCAACACAGAGACTGGATAAACGTAATCATCTTTACTTTCGTAAAGAGAAAACGCTGAGTACATTTTCAGCAACAACTCAAAGAGAAACTGTTCTGTCCCCGGTGCTCCAGATACCCCGACATGAGGTCAACGTGATTGATGACCCTTCCATTTTGTTCTGTAATGTATTCTCCCCCGACCATTCGTCCCACCGTCTCGTCTCTAAGGCATCTTCCGAGACGGCGACATGCCGTCTTTTCATGGGATGACCTAATTTCGTTTCCCCCTTTCCTGTGGCAGCAATGTCCGTTACCCTGTTCACGATGCCGCCACACGTCCATTCATTACTGGTCTGAGCCATCTCACCACGTCTGACATTAGAACGCTCACTAACCACCATTAAATCCGACAAGTGCAGCACATGAGCTCATAGAAATACTTCACAAAGGGCACAGCATTCACAAAGATCGTCTCAATTTACTTGCTAAAGGGACACTGAAGTGAAACAATAAATCGGCTAAGCCTGCTAAATCATACTACACTGAGAAGTCTAGTGTCGTTAATTTCGCCGTCATAGGCTTATTCATGACGACTGACTGCAGCTAAATTTAAACGCACACACGAAGGAAAGAAACACAAAAGACAATGCTGACACTAACGCCTGCGTTTGAATTTAGCTGCCACCACGCGACATGCAAGATCACCAACTCACACAGATGCAAACCATTCCTGTAGGTTTATTAATAGAGAAAAAGAATCGAGGTGGAAGCTTAATTTTTAAACTTCGCGCCAAATTTTACCGGCGTGACGTCACAGAGTTCTAGGCCTATTTTTGTATTTTGACGACACTCCCTCAACGAAACCTCTTGAAACTGAGTGTTAAATCCACGGACAGTGCGCGCTTTTCGATTTACCGATTAGGAGCTACGCAGTCCGTGGAAGACGCCGTCAAAGTCTAACACATCTTAGAAGTGTGGCAGCTTGGGCTAGTTGGTATGGCATGACGATAGTTATAGCGCGAGAACAAAACGACGACACAGAGACAAGAAGGACACGAAAGACACGAGCGCTAACTTCCAACTGAGTTTATTGCGCAGAGCACTGCACTGAGTGCAAGTGTGTTCCCCTCTTCGAGGAAACAGCGACGTTGTACAAACACAGAGATGTAAGCACCCGGGTCATTGTCGAGGCTGCGCAGATGGCACGCGAACAGGTGCCTTCTGTTAGCAAGCCCTCCGTGGCTTTGTCCGAGAAGGAACGCAGGTTCCTCGAAGGATTCGGTGCGGGCAGGTAATGCGAACAGGTGCCTTGTATTAGCAAGCCCTCCGTGGCTTTGTCCGAGAAGGTACGCAGGCTCCTCGAAGGATTCGGTGCGTGCAGGTAGCTTTACTTTGCTGTTTCGGTTTCTTCTAAGTTTTTCTTTCCTGTTTTTCAGTGCCTTTGTATTTGTGTTGTTTGGTTTGGTTTTCTTACTCATGTTCTGCTTTTGTGCCATATGGTTTTTATCACATGGTCACTGTCTCCTCTATATATTTTCGTGCTCTGCGCAATAAACTCAGTTGGAAGTTAGCGCTCGTGTCTTTCGTGTCCTTCTTGTCTCTGTGTCGTCGTTTTGTTCTCGCGCTATAACTATCGTCTAACACATCAAAGCGTTCGGTGAGGGAATTTCCGGGTGGCGTCGCCACCAGCGTTTTCTTACGCGTTTTTTTTCGCTCACCGAGCGCCTCCTCGCGGCAAGCATGGCGTTTTTGATGTAGTGAAAGAGTAATTTACTAATGCGAGAAAAATCACGTCTCTCCTTAGTGTCCCGTGAATTATACGCCTTTCTCTTTTATACATGGCTTTTCTGTGTAGGCAACGGTTTATCAATAACTGGTATACCTTGTTCCCTTTACGTTTCGTGGCGATTCTGTTATAGTTATTGTAATAGCTAGCGATTTTTTTCCCTACATGTCATTGTTCAGCGGCCCCTCGTAACTCGCGAGAAGTGGTTAAGCTGTTTCGGCGAAGCTTTTATTCCCGCCATTATTCGAGCGCTGCACGTGAAAATAAAAGTTACATTCCGCTCAACGATGTTTACAGGTATACGACATACTCTTCCACATCGAGGCGTTATTCGAAGAGTTTTAGCTATCAGCGTCGCGGACACAGTTGAGTCTTCGTTTCCCAGACGTTTCTCAATGGCACACGACGTAGCGGCGAGTTCACGCGGCTACGTGGAAAAATTCACTGATCGCGTTTGTACGGCCTTTCGGCTTGACTTGGCTCTCGAAGACGTTTGGCTCTCACAAAAGCCGCACATAGCTCTAGCCACAAAAACAAGACATATCTAGAGAGACGTAAGCAAATCGAATCGACGAAACAGAAACACCGTCCCATCTCTCGCTCGAACGCAGCTTTTAATTCTTCGCTCTGATGCACATATATCCCAAACTAAAAGCATTGCCCCCCCCCCCCCTTCACGCTGTTCTACTTTCGATTCCATGGCGTATGTCCAAGGTCAACAGAATTAAGTGTGTAGCATTAGGTGTGTGGCATTCACTGTATGCCCTGAAGTGTCCCGTATTAAGTGCACCATTAGGTGCTCAAGGCTTTGAGCACAAGAAAATCGATCACTCCTGAAAGACGGAGCCGCACGTTTTCGTTTTTGTGACGCCCAACCATGACACATTGGCAAGACTCCCACGTCCACAATCTCACAAAGAACGCCGTAGTAGAATGTTTACTATGTGCATTTAATTAGAGGAACAATTAAGCGCCAGACAGCATGCGAGTGCTTTCGTTATGTTCAACTAGTCGGGTAACAAATAGTTGACTATCTTAACCCATAGTTATAACGAAACAACAACGAATCGATAGAACGGAGCCATGTCTAAACGCTTATAAAGGAGGGCGATCATTTGTCTGACCAGAAATACTGTTTAAATTTGCGAATGCACGGTCGAATGCGATCGACTATAAGTGAGAATCGGAGTCGCATTTCGTAAGCGAACGGGACTGTACTGAACAATCGCACGCTGGTGCCAAATTAACGCAAATTAATGACAATATGGCGCTTGCACGCACATGTAAATTTAGTGAGGAACGCTTCTATCCCGTTCGGTCGCGTTAAACGAATTACGTTCGAACCCTCCCCGCCCCCCTCAAGCAAGACAATGGCGTTATATCGAATTTGTGTGGCATGCCCGTAAAAGGTTAAGCGAAGCACAAACGAAAGAACGATACATTTTTTTATGCGGGGTTTATGAGAGGTTTAGACAGTACGAGTAACTTGTTTTCACGCAAAATTCAGGATAATGTTGGCCGCAGATGAGCTCAAAAATGAAATCAACTAACATGCCATTTCAATTCAAAATAATCCATACAAAACGAACACTGCAGCTTTAAAACAAAGCCACAACAAGTCCAGCCACACACAACAGTAAAGCTCCTTAGTAGTACATGAAGGACACACTATAGCCTATA